GAGACCCCCGGTAAAATTAATGAAATTGAAATTTGAACGAAAAAATCGGCTTGGGGCAAACATTCCACATAAGATGCCAAAATTTCAGTTCTGTAATTCATTCCGTTTACGATCTATAGACCCGTGGCATATTGACAGACAGATGACAGAATGGTAGCAATAGAGTTCCGTTTTTACTCTTTGAGTATGGATCCCTAAAATTGAATCATTGAAATCGGCCCATAAATATGCGAACAACAATTTATATATATAATTATGAACCTCCTCCTTTTTAAATCGGTTAATAATAAAGTATCAGGGAAAGTTAATTTAACATTAATCAGTACCGCCATGTGCAAAGTTTTAATTTTTGCTACTGCCAGTCTACTGCAGACTTATCGTAGTCGGACTTTATATGAAGCCTTCGCATCTGTACAATATGTGACTGAGGCCTATGACCTGCGTGGGTTGCATAAAATTAGTTCAAACACGCAACATTTGCTTACAACAAAGTTCCTTCTCATAAAATTGTCACATCGGTAGTCTAGTACAGGTGTGTTTATATTCCTTAAACTTTAATTTAACTATGCAATAACAGCACATAATTAAGTACACACAGATTATTAGGCTTATAAAAAGATCAACTTCGAAATTAACTTACTATCATAGAAATAGAAAGATAATATCTCTATTCGAACGTCAAGCGGACCAGTCAGTTTTCATTACCCGGTCGATCGCGTCGACCAGTAATCCCGTATGACGGCACCTCCGGGAATATGACGAACTTACATCTAAATTTAGACACGTAGACTCTTTAAATATGTTTCGGTAGAAGTTCCAATACCCGATTTATCTATTAGATACTACGATTCACTCATTTCGTTTCTGTTTTGACGTATGATCTCTGACGTTCTTATACACTTTTGTAGGTGACGAGGTCAAATGGGTATACCCTGGTATACCTATAAGTTGACGTTTCTATACTTTGTTTTTTTAACGAGAATTATTTATTATTGTGTGACTTATTACAACGGCTCAAATGATATGGAAAGTACTTCAAATTACCATCTAAATGAAGTTTATTGGACTGTTGAATTGATAGTTCATCCATATTAAAATAACATGGAGATGAAATGGATTGCCTATAATATTAAGCTCGTTAACACATTGTTTCAATTTGCTTGGTCAAGCTTACAATGATCCTACGATCTCAATCCTAGCTGCATAAAGGTACCTTATGGATCGCTTACCGATATGTTAAATATATAAGATTTAATATAAAGTTGTTACAAACGCTGTAATGAAAATCTGATTAAGAAAAATATCACTTAATTGTCGATCACACTTAAAGTCGTCAATTAATTTTAAATATTGATTATATTGATTCTTGCTAGAATTTACTTTTACATTTAGGCGAGCGCATAATATTATTGGTAGGAATGTAGTGTAATATCTCTGTCGAAATAATATGACAAAAAACAGAAATGGAATGCAGACATTAAGCACACATTTTGAGAATAGCAAATATTAGGAAGCATACATAGTATATCCTGCGGGAAAAAATATCGTTCTTACTGTTTTACTGGCCACCCTGCCAGTAAAACAGTAAGAACGATATTTTTTAGAGTAGGTACTCCTAACCCATTATCAAATTTTAAGAAAGCTTCGATTCATAGAAGTAAGCACTTAATTATTTTATTACTTAATGTTTTATTTTGGTATCATTTTGTGTATTTTATAAGTTGAGTAAATTATGTTTACATTTCTATTTTTGATAATATGTGAAACACACCGCCAATCAGGGGTAAACTGGGATATCCTATTTTTACAACTTTAACAATCATAAATAACGGTGATAAGTGATTATAATAAAGTAGGAATTCGGTAAATATTTACCTGAATGTAAATTCGTTCGCACATAGCGAATGACGCAAAGAGAGCAGATAATATAACCCTTTGAAGCCAGACAAAAGCTTGTCCTGATAACGTAAACTACTCAGAAGCGCATTTCATCGTAGTCTTTAAACATGGGAATCTGTTTAGATTTTGTCAAAATTATAGTGCTGCGATTGTTTACATTTTGCTCATCTGAATTGTAGGTCCATTACTTATATAATGGCTATCCATTATATTACGATATTCACCTGTCTGCCTCGGGCCAGAAGGTACTTAATGCTTTTTCTAGGAATAACCAAAAAGAATTGATTAAACTATAACAACGTACTACATAAATGCTAACAGAGGCTTAGATAATATTTAAAAGTAAGTAGTTACTTTTTAAACTACTACGGATAGTTCATAACCTACAAGGGAGAGTTTCATAACTTATTTAGTCCTTCTGCGGTGTTATTTGCCTACTGCTGCGGCACAGGCTTTCAGACATGACGATAGACAGAACGAAAAATCAGTTATCATGCTGTAATTTTCTTCACCTAGCAGTTTAATGCTTGAAATAAAAAATAATGAAAACAAACGAACGTGATATCTTTATACTCATACTTAAAACTAGATTGACCCAAAAAAGTCGGAATGTCGAAGAAAAGTCGTATAGCACGGAACCTTTCGTTTGCGTATCCGACTCCCTCCGGCGGTTTATGTGGTGGATTAGTGGTAAATATTATATGGAACTTAAAATAAATTACCAAGAAATATTACAATAGAGTTTTTGTTTATATAAAATATTAGAAGCAACTTCCATTTGGCACGAGTTTGGACATCGCATCCGGTATTCAGTTACGCGGAACGTGTACGCGACATGAAAGTGAAGCGCTCGTTTAAAGGCGGCTTCGTGAGTCGTTTTCTTGGAAGGATCTCATAAATAAACTGAATTTTCCAGCCTCGCACGGAATTTACGTATTAAAGGAAATCTCTACCAAAATACAAATGGAAGAAGCTTATTTCGAAAATATATTCAATTAAAGTTTTAAATTTATTATTTGTAATAATTCTAACTTTAAAGAGGAAAAAAATATGCTAAAAGTTTGCCAGGTGCATAACTTTTGAGCCTTTCCTCCTAGACCCCTGAGCTGAGCCTATCATGCATATGGATATAGTTAACGGGCACCTGAAAGATGAGACTCTCCTCGAAGGGAGATCGGCGGTGTCAGAGTAATCTTCTGCATCTCCGGCGGAGCGGCGCCGGCCACGGCCTGCCAGCAGCTCGATGGTCGTCCAGAAGGAGCCTTCGGATGCACTCGACGGCGTTCGCAGCATGTTGCAACTAGTGCAAGCTACACGTTCCGCGGTCTAAGGTGCAATGACTGCCGCCGCCATTATCCTCGCAGTTTACCCACCCCCGCCTAGAGGCTCCACACCCCACGTGTTCACACGCGATCATTAATTTGCCTAGACACTTCCAACGGCAATTTCTTTCGCATTGAACGAATCACAACGAAAGTGCCGACACTTTGATCGTTCGATTAGTTCTTTTAAGAGTTCATAATAGCATTGGTCGCTATTTTGCTGTCGATTGAGCACGAATGAGTCAATATTGCATTTACGAAGCGAGCTATTGCTGAGTAATGTTAATATCGTATGTTTTTTATGAAAGCTTCGTACGATATCACGCACTCTCGCCCGCTTGTAGGCGGTTGTTTATGATCAACTGTCAGAATGTGTAATGTTTACTCGGTAACAGGTGTAGGTTGGTGACCCGGGTGACGAGTGCGCCTGCTTCGACGGGTGACCCGGATGGCGCCAACGTCGCGACCAGGTCAGCTGGATGCTTTTGCGGAACGTCCTTCATAGCATCTACATAATTACACTTGCCTGAACTATCCTACGAACGGTAGACCTTCATGTTGTGTCAAAAGTAGGTCAAGATAAATATTGATTGGATTAATGTCATGCAAAAATTAGTAAATAAATCTAACTGTACATCATGTAGGTTGAAAACGGAATGAGAGTTCAGTCGCGGGAAGGAAAAGTCAGACTTTTGCGAATTTAAGACACATAATATCGGAACTGGCACAAGTCACGAGAGAACCTTAGCTGTTGCTTTAGTTTTTGACAGTTAATAATATGTTAATAGGAATGACTTAAATAATCTCAAAAAAATAACAGAAAAAATACAACTGCCAACCTACGTCAAAATTTAGAATTGGTATTGTATTATTTTTGAGAATAATTTAAATATTAATCGAAATAGGCTGTTTATCTCGTATTTAAAATTAAAAGATCTTAAGAAAAATGTTTAGAGAACAATTAATTATATGTATCAATATTCACTGTATCAATTAGTATAAAATTTATTGTTGTTAATTTAAATATTGTCTTATCTTATCTTCATATTAGACTTAGAATAAAATAATTATGAAATGTGAGAACTTTTCCGTGTAGATAGAAATGTTTCAAAAACTATTGTATAAGTGTTACGTTGGTAAAGTTTTTGCACTACTGAATTGTTGCCAAATGTGGCTATGTGGGCTCCTACGAGCAGGAGAGATTTTTGTAAAAAAAAACTAATATACTGCTTTCTGTATTGTTGATAATAATTTGTATATCTCGCTATTCTGTTATGAAATTCGATCAAGACAAAAGAAAAACCAACCAAATCAGTAACAATAATCTAATAATAATAAAGCATATAGTAAATGCTTTGTATGAAAGTTCTTTTCACCAGAACATGAGCCAGAAAGTTCCGATATCGTGAATTAAATGTCTGAATTACTATTTTTTTTAATTCTAACTAATATTATAAATATGCGAAAGTGAGTATGTTTGTAACCCTCGCACGCTAAAAGTACTGACCGCATATGTATGAAATTTGGTACGCCTATAGGTTTTGACCTGGATTGAGACATACTAAGTATACTTTTTATCCCTAGGACCCCTTTTATCCTGGAAAAAAATCTAGGTTCCTGTGGTATTGTCAAAAAAACCAAAGTAAACGCAAACAAAGTCGCGGCGGGCGCTAGTAATTAATAAAATTACATCAGTGCTAAGTTTGGGCAGCCCCTTAGTATTATGCAATATGAAACTACTGAGCGGTAAGTATAGTTTTTAGATAAAGAACGATTTACGCATATTGGATGATCTTGGCTTGCCACCAGCGCGGCAAGTTTGGTAACTGGAAACGCTTCATCTTTTTCCGGCCCATCTCGCCTTCAACGACCTCATCTTCGCCTTCCACCTGGGATACATACAAAAATATATACAAAATTTTATTTTTGGGTTTTCGGACCGGTTATGAGCCCCTATTGGGCTCCACAGTAATTACTTGTTTTAATTGAACTTATATTTAACATCTTTTTGTACATTGTGGATATGCAATGAGCCGCAACCGGTTGATTCAGGTTTTTACCGAGTTTTTAAGTATGACAATACGAATAAAAAAAGTTAAAAGATTAGGGCCGTTCCGATACAAGAAGCGCGAAATTATTTTTAAGTTAGTTTTTAGGGTTCCTTACACAAATGGTAAAAACTGGAACCCATTACAAAGATCCCATTGTCCGTCTTTCTGTCACAGGCTGTATCTTATAAACCGTGATATCTAGATGGTTAAAATTTTCATAGTTGATGTATTTCTGTTGCCGCTATAACAACAAATTCTAAAAAAAGAATTGAATAAATATTTAAGGGGTAATATTGACCATATACAAACGTGATATTTTGCCGTTTTATGCTCTTTATTAATAACGGCAACAGGTGGACGCTTAAAATATCCATAAATATTTTGTTGTATATTTACTTTAAAAATAAACACTTAATTAATTTAAAATAAAATAAATATTTAAGGGGGCCTCCCATACAACATATATTTTTGCCGTTTTTACCCGACTGGGCATGCAAGAGCGCGAAGCGCGACGCGCAGACAGGGTATTGTGTTTAATAGTCTGTATTTTGCTCAATATTATAGTGTCTAATGTATACATAATGGTACAGAACCCTTCGTGCACGAGTCCGAATCACACGTGGCCGGTTTTTCAATAATTTTATTTTATGTTATAACCACGGTAATAACAGCAAATTTACTTACATTTATTTTCACTCTTTTATCTTTATCTTCTCCTGGTTTTTCACCCATAGTGGCTACTATTTCACTTTTATAATTTTATGTGCCTTAAAGAAATGCGGATGTGTCTTTCCGCAAACAAAAATTTTGCCTTTATATTTTCATGAGAGTTTTTTTTACAAAAATTTTGAATATTCAATTAATTTACGATTCAACAACTCGGTAATTTAGAAGCCATCAAACAAATGTTATGAATGCGGTGTCAACATGACATTGGCAATCATGGTTTATTTATGTTCCTTGAGCTATTAGAAAAATCTAGTTGGTTATGACGGCAGTTTAGGCACTTTTATTTTTAGGCTTCCGTACCTCATCGGCAAAAACGGAACCCATATAGAATCACCCGGATAACTCGGTTGTTTGTCCTTCTGTCACAGTCAATTTGCTCGGAATCTACTGGACCAATTAAGTTGAAATTTTATACATAAATGTAACCCAAACACGGATGAATAAAGTAAATAATAAAGACCCACTTTGTATTGGAATTTGGCTAAACATGGACAAACATTTTCACAATTAAAATTAAACAATGCTAGAAGCTTAAACTACCCGGAATCATTATATTGTATCAGCATCCTTTAAACAATTTTTAAGCACCGCGATAAAGAAAAGGTAGGTAATTTAGGCACAAATAAGCCTTTTTCGCAACGATTTAGAATATTCGATGTCATTATACTACCAATACGATGTCTAGACACTGGGTTTAGATACATTTTCTGTTACACAATTAAATAAAATCGAAAATTAACATTTATTATTTAAATATGCCGCGAAAAAAATAATATTGCTCAATATGGCGTATGTGTGACGTCAGATTTTTAAATTTCTTAGAGGCGTAAGAACTTTTATATTACGATGTCAGATTGAGTTAATCAGCTTACGATTTCAAATTTTCTGTATGATTTATTTATTGTGGCTACCTAAAGTAAGACTGAAATGCTTATGGCTAAAATGGGTTATTATTATATATACAAACTTACACTAATATAATTAAAATACCCAAACTAATATGTAATCTGTTCAATCAATAAATAATATGACCAAAATTTTATACTTAAAACAAAATAATATTAATTTAAACTTCGACTATGTTCTCATTCTACACTCATGCTCGTCTTTGCCGTACTCTTTTAACACTTATGGAGAGAAAGAGACAACTGCGTTACTGGGTACGCATTTGATTATTAAAATTATTTGTCTATTTAAGCAATTATAGTAGGATTTAGGACGATATTAACTACAGGTGTAAATATAATTAACAAACATAGGTTCGGTACTTACCGAAAATAAGACACTGCATCCTTTTTCAGTATGAATAATGTGTTTTTTTGCATTTTTTCACGGAGTACTTTGGCATGTTGCGTTTGCAATGGTTCGCGCGTGACTGAACAAAGAAGTGCTTGGGCTTCGTCCAAGCACTTCTTTGTTCCTCACCTTATATTAGTAAAAAAAGAAATAGAACCTACTACAAAAGGAATAAGCTATTTGAACATTGTTCTAAAATCAAATCAAATAGCGCGCGCTTTCGCGACTTCCTGTTACACACTTCCGGCCCATTTCACGAAATCACTCCCACAAATTGCAGGAAAGCGAGAGAAAAAATGTTACACATCAATAAGATGCTCCTCCACCGGGTATATTCGAATGTAATGTAACATTTTAGAATCTATTTTGGGCATTAGCCCTATTTATATTATTTAATATATTCTAATATAAATTAGAATCTAAATTCGTCAGGGAATAGTCAGGGAGTGAGTTACGATTACGTAACAATACTCACTCCCTTTTCCTTCCTTTTTTTTTCTTTTTTTTCCTTCCTCAGCAAATGTAATACTCGAATCTGTAATGTTACATTATAGACAAATCACCGGTACACCGGTTAAGTTCCGAAACTAACGAATTAACGAAATTGTTCAAATAACTCAAATTTAAAAGATTAAGTAAAAGAAAATGTCAGCCATAGAAAATTGTATTCGAAGTTTTATCAGGAGGGGTGGGGGGGGGGGGGGGGGGGTAACCGTCTTATTTCAACTCCTATCAGGTACTATCCCTTTCAATTTGGCCTATGAAGACTTAACTTATTTATGAAACTCCACCGAACCATTTCTCACCGAACCCATACCGAACCCACCGAAAATTGTAACATCTTTAAAATTTGAGGTTTGAATACTTCTTTCAAATGCCAATCTGAATGGTATATTGATATTAGAAGCTGCTTAGGGGGCCGATCTGACTGACTATCCATTATGAAAAATTATCAAGTTCATTGAGGAAAACTGCGAGGTTATTTTGCCTTTGAGAGGCCACCCATCTTCGGCGGGTCTCTACATATGCCGGTCCCCACAGCTTGTTCGGCCGGCTGGACTCACGGATGCGCTAAATAAAAACAGAATTAGATTTAATTTTCCTTTGAAAATATTACAAGTAGAAAGAAAATCATTAAATAAATTTTATAGATATGTATGTATACTCGTATGTATCTAGCAATCTAATTGAAGGAATGCAACGATAAATGAAGCAGAAGAAATTTCATTCTTCAAACTGCCAATCAATATCTTTAATTCGGTCAAGGCTGTAAAAGTCGTACTGATTTGTAAAGGGTTTGTCAGTTCATATCAGAAGGGGATTTTTCTTTCTCACATAATAATAGAGGTTTCAATATTACGAGTTGTTTCCTATCTTTAATTACGTAACTACAATTCTTTTAATAGAAATAATAAATTCTCATTATTCTTGTTTGTATTATTCAAATCTAATGACGTATCTATACCAGGTCACGGTCACAGGTAAAGAAGGGTCAATACGTAAAGGACAAGTATTAAAATGAAAAATATTTACTTCTAAAAGAGTTCCTTTGGCCTTGTATATGACTATAACTGCGTAGATAGGTATGAGTGAGACTGAGGAGAGTGCCACGCACCACCCTGCTAGTCCGGATGCATCACGCAACGTGAATGATGCGACCACCTAGAAAGAGAAGTTTGTGTCAGATCAAACATTGGCTGGGCAATTAATTGTCAATGATGAAACCACAAATTGCAGTAAACATGGCCCGTTTAGAAGCCCCATAAAGCAAATACTTACAACTGCGATTCTAACCAAATCTAATGACGACCTCCGTGGCCGAGTGGTTCATACGCCGGGTGCGAATCCCGGTGGGGCAGATGTTTGTGTGATGAATATGAGCATTTGTACTCCAGTCATGGATGCTCAATATGTATTTCTATATAAATATACTAATATATGTATTCTATCCGTTACCCTAGTATCCCATAACACAAGCATTACAGTGCTTACTTTATGGCTAGGCTAATTGGAGTGAGTGTTGGAAATATTTATGTAATTATTTTATTTTTTAACTTTATAGCTGTAAAGTTCGCAATGAGTGCAACTACGCGCAGGTAAAGTTAAGTAAACACTTGGTAAACTGATTGCATATATCTAAATTTCGGTTATTGCGCCGCGACAGCTTAGCGCTCGCTGGGTGGCAACGATTTTTCAAACATTTTCCTTAAAGGGTTACTATGAATTGGCATTAATCACGTCTGGTCGCGTATGACAGCAAGCTTAGAGGCTTCTAATCTCTGTTAATGCGTTATTAGCGACGTTTTGCCGCGTTTTTTCCGACACCGATGCGGTGCTTACTATCGCGGCCTAATGTTAAGCTTTTCGGTTAATACCCTATTGTTATGAAGCTTTAAGGCTCTTTGTAATTACCCTTTGGAATCCAAACTCAACCTTTACTCTCAGAAACTGTAATAAAAATTGTTATATACCTTAAGGAGTAGCAAATTTCTTGGTATTAAGTGGAAGTGGAGTCCAGCTGTGAAGACAGCTGATTCGGCAGAAAACTGTGCCATTCAGCTATTATCTCTTTGACAGTTTGAATTTAATCCCGCAAGGAATCTTAATTACCAGCAGTAACACAGTATCATCACTAGTAAGAAGTTTACAGGGCATCAGTTACACTTAACATTAGTCAGAGTTGAGATTTGTTGCACCTACCATAAAAATAGTCTCACCACCAATATCGCTGGAAGAATGTACCGCCACTGAAAAATCCAGATTCGCCGTAAAGGTTGCCCAGTCATGAACAGCACATCCCGGCTGAGCTTTTCAGGTCCATACATGTACACCGCAGCTATTATTTCGAGCAGGCACACTATTGGCACACAAGCAATTGCCACGTGCGCATCTAGAAGGGTTAGAACGTGAAGACCACCCTGAAAATGTTGATTATAATACTGTTGGACTATGAGGATATAAATGCAATAAAAGTTTTTCAAGACTTTACAAGGCAGGCGACACGTAATGAAACTCTGGTAACGCAAGTATTATAATAAGCTATGATGGCCGCTTACTATCAGGTACCCGTTTACATATTGTCAGCGTTTCTACATAAATAAATATGTCTGTATCTGTGAAATGTGATCATGCACCTTGGAAATAGCCAAAACCGACGAGACATAAAAAAAATAGTGTACACACATAAATGGTTTAATTCTACGACCCTTTTAAGAAAATTTTATTAATTGAGTAGTGGGACTGGGAAGTTTAATAAAGATTTAGGTACTTCCACAAAAAAGTTGTTAAGCGTTAAAATTGAATTTCAGAAAAGACAAAGAAATCGTAGTAATATATTTATGGATATTGAAGTTTATTTTGTGGAAGTTAAAACTATGTCTAGTGTTAATACAATAACATTTGAAATTAAATCAATGAGTTGTTGTGTGGTTGATATTATCCAACTGTTTTGTTTTAAGCCTATCGGGCCACGCCTAAGTCGTGTCGCTTTAGTGTTTTCGTGTTCTATTGTAATGAATTTTGTGCTTACTGGAGTTATTACGATTGCCTTCATTCAATCATAAACTGTCTACAAACTGCGACATGCGTCAAGGTAACAAGTTGCCGAGTGTTTTATTACTTGTAATAATATTGGAGGTAACCTTGTTGTTTTGGAAACTTAAATTAATGTAGCGTAATATACTATGATCTTAACTTATATGTTCCGTATGTAAGAACTTTGATAAAAGTGAAATGTTTTATAGCCCAGTCAACGCACGTGCACGGAAAAAACGGGAAAAACTTATCTTACTGGTAACAGTTACATAAAGGAAGCAGATTGAAGCGTAGTTGTTCATTAATTTCAAAGGGTGCCAGCGCTGACCAGCGCGTGTCGGCACATGGCGGCGCTTATCGGCGCTGGTCCATAGAAATGCCTGCGCCGGTTACCGGTAAAGACCAGCGCTGAGAAGCGCTGGTCGGCTTCCAGCTTTCTTTCTGTATACGGCCATAGGTATCATTCGAAAGCTTGTTTTATATTATAACATGAACAGATCCTTTTATATTTTTATTTATCTCCGATTAATTACAAATCGTGTTTAAGTATTGAATAATTTTGTAAGGATGCTGGCCACCCTGTCATAATTAACGTCATATTTTTAGTGTGTGGCAGCTTATTACGTCTACTCAGTCACTATGGAAATGTCAATTAGTTCAGTCATGCACGATACTTGTGAAATCATGGTGAACTTATTATACCATTTATGATCGATTCTTCTTGGAATAAAAGAAACCAGAAAATACCTAATATTGTAATGAAAGATGAAAAGAATCATTATTATTGCTTTAGTTACCCATTGAATAGTAATAGTAAATTTTTTATGTTACAGGCTTAGTGTACATCTATTAAATAATGTATATGCAAAATTTGCAGTCATTAGGTCCAAGGGATAAGATTTTAAAACAAACGATTTTTGCAAATTTCACTCTCAAGAGGCTTAATTTCAAAATATCTCATCTTATTACTTGGCAGTAATAGGAACCTACTGTCCACATTTCATCAATCTTAGTTGATGAGTCAGTCAGTCTCTCAGTGTATCCTTTTAACTCTTTATAGTTCAGATGAGTTAAAAGCGAATTAATTTAATTTCCATAATAATTGTACAGACATCAAGTTACGACAAACTGTAGAATTTTCTCAATAGATTTTGAATATTATATAGGGCATAGTCAAAGTCTTTGGAGAAAAATTACAGTTTTGAATAACCTGACATGTCAGGTTATTCAAAACTGTCAATTTTCTCAGGATAAGTGGAGCTCTCTATTTCAAAATCCATTTTTAAATGGGCCAGTCACGCGATCAGTTGTTTGTTTATTTAGCAACCGTTCGTAAGTAAATAAGTTGTAATTATATAATGGATATTGAAGGGCGAGCCGGTGTTATCGCCACCAATTCAAACGGATTTAAAAGTATTGTCGTCATGCAAAGAGCCAGAGTTGTTGTAGCGGACCAAGGTGAAACAAACATTTTGAAATGTAACGATTCGACAAAATATTGTAATTGGTTTTTGACAATGTTTAATTTACTATGTATATTCTTGATATGATGACCAGTTTCATTTCCTTTATACATTATTTAATTATTATTTTTATGTAATAATTAAAAAAAGGTTTAAAAATATAAAATATTTTTTGGTTGTCATTTTGCTGTTTAATGTTATGACATCGTTATTATGTTACTTTTCATTCCAAATTCAAGTTTTTCTCTCTCTTGATATAACCCCCATAACTAAGAAGGGAGTTTGGTTCAGTGAAGACCGATTTCAAATTTTAATAGAGGCTATGATTAAAAAAGAATTTTGTTTCAAGCAAGAATAACAGAGGTGTTAGTATCGTTGTTGTTTAAATTTTTATTCACAGCGTATTATTTTCCTTTTCTATCCAGTAAGCATACTAACTGGATAGAAATGGACAACATTCCATAGAAAAAACTGTAACACTTTAGAAACAATTGCATGCTGAAATGTAGTCTTAGATAACTGTACTTTTATATGTACCTCTGTGTTGCATATAATTGAAAAGAAGAAGGTAACCAGGCAGGTAACGAAAGTTACGAGGCGTTTTCTTTGTTTCAGCTTCGGTGCTTCTTCTAAAACTCCTGCAATAACTGCTTCCATAGTTACGAACTGGAATCATAGTTTTGATTTTCAAATCAATTTATTTCCTACAAAAATATGCTTTTTTTATTACAATATGAGATAAAGAATAATGGGAACTTAGATAAATGATTGATCTACCTGCGATTGATCAGGGACTGGGTTTTATTGAAAACAGTTTTTTTATTGAAAATTTATTAAGTTTTTTATTAAGTGTTGTTTATTGAAAACAGTTTTTTTAAACAAGAATATTGAACTATCTATACTTAGTCCAAATATGCATCTAGTATATCTATGCAAAAAAATACAATATAAATGTGCTAGTGAGTATATGATTGCAAGTTGCGGTTTCACACCTCAATCGCTCAACTGATTTTGGTGAAATTTGGCATGGAAATAAACGGTACTTTGTAAAAGCGTACAAACTACTTTCTGTCACAAAAAATAATTGGTGAAGGTGAAATAGGAGATAGGAGTTGTATATAAAATGCTATGGAGACGAAGTTATAGGGACCAACTTGTAATCGTAATCTTTGAATTCTGATCAGGAAGTCAAAATCACTAACCATTGTGTCAATACCAAGGAAAAACAGCATCACAAAGAACGCCATAGCCCAGAAATTAGGTGCCGGCATCATAGTCACAGCGGCTGGATACGTGATATAGGCAAGCCCAGGACCAGCAGTGGCCACCTGACCCACGGGCACACCAGCCCGCTCTGCGGCGAAACCAAGCACCGAAAATACTACGAACCCAGCCCAGACGCTTGTGGCGCTGTTTACTATCGGTATTATTATTGACGACCTAAAACATCAGGTATATTGTTTTAAACTTTCATGTTCACTAATATTCATAGGATGCAATAATATTTGAATAATTATCGGGATTACAAACAATGCCTCCTCTTGGCGTTACGGTGGGTGATATGAACAGGGAATCCAGCGCCTCCAGGTTCGAATCCCAGCAGAGGCAAATGTTTGCGTGACGAATACGTGCGTTTGCCTACATCATAGCCTTTGATTATTTACTCTCTAGATAGAGCTTGGCAGCGCACATGACGTGGAAAAAAATATGAGCCTAATGCTGGACACTAATAATAATAATAGTTTATTTCCCACAAAGATAATGATTACATAGCTTACTATACTATCACATAGGTATGAAACAGTAATTACATACTATTATAGCTGCTGGTACTTAAAAAAGAATACTCTGTGCTATAAGTACCAGCCTCTTTCCAAATTCACATCATATTGATTATTGATTGATTATTTTAACTCAAACATTTTGACAATCATTAATTTAGGCAAATTAGATTCTAAGTAGTTTCCCGTCACTTACAATGGAACGCTTAGCGATATGCACGTCAATTACAAATTTCCGGGTTGAAATTATTGCTTTAAAAGTTATGTTACAAAATTAGTTTACGGTTTGTTTTTATTTTTCTTTTAGCTATAGTACATAGTAATTTACTAGGTCATATTTTTTTTATAAAAGGTATAGTAATTTTGACCAAATGACTTGCTTTTATTCAAGATTGTAAAACAAAAGTTCTGCATCAAAGAGATAAGTATTGTATACTATGTCAAATTTCAAAGATAAATTATATTAAACTACTAAATTCAAGGCCTTAATCATCATAATATGGAAAACGGTCCATTTTGTTGTTTGTTTCTATATTATCATAGCTGTTATTTTAGTTAAACTAAATAAAAATTTGTAATAAATATTTTTATTTCAAATATCCTAGTATACATTTATACGTTTTACAGATGTTTCAGTCTATGATTTTTAATTGTGTGAACAATATACTAATTTTGATTTGTTTAAGTTTACCCTTTTTTATGAAATAACCTTGGTGATATCTTACGCATGAGCACCGAGACAAAAATAATGACATTTCGCGAGTGTAATATACAAGACTTGCGTGTTTTGTTTTGCGTGTCACGCACGCAAGTATATAAAACCTGGTCTGTTTTTATCTCAGTATTTACAAGGTGACGCTCTATCTAGAGGGTAAATCATCAAAGATCATAGCACAGTTACAGCTCAATTGCCAGTTAAAAATTTTTGGCGATTGCCGGTCATTATCGTGACAAATAAATAAATATTTTTGGTTGACCTACAAATGTTTCGTATGTGGATGATCGATCGTTCTTTACTAACCGTAAGTTCTTGTAGTGAAATCTATTAAAACTAGCCATGCTCACTAGGCCACCCCATCCTGGCCCAAGAGAATAAAAAAGTTGCGTTGCAGCATCTGCCCAGACCTGAAATATAATTATAGAAAGTCCTATTTTTCACTTGTTTTAACAAGATGTCAGGTATGGGAATGATTGGACCATAACAAAAATATTCAAAACTTACTTTTGGATTTTTCAGTTGTTCCCAATCAGGAAAAATATAAAACTTTATGCCTTGCCAAGCGCCTGGTAGAGTGACGCCACGTATGAACAGAATACACAGAACTATGTAAGGAAAGGACACAGTGCAGTATACAATCTGAAAGCAATGGTAGAATTATTTACAGAGATTATCACTACTGATCAATCAGTAGTGATAACTTACTTTAAACTAATCAATCATCACTCTGCCGGGTTGTCAACAGCCCGGCAGAGTGCCAATCGAGAAGGGGATACCTTTCCGACGCTCTTGACACCATTACAAATGCAGAGATATACGATGACCCAACAGATGACATTGCACCAAAAAACAGGCCACACAATACCACCAATCTCGTTAATGCTTGGTGACATTCGCAAAAGTCCTATGCTGTAAGAGACAAAAAGGAAAATGTTGATGCACAGCTTGTATAAAATAACTTGCTAGATGACAAAACATAAGTTTCTTACTGAAAGAACTCATCTTCTGGAGTAGTTATAGATCCATTTGTTGTAAAGGCAGTTGAATTTCCTGTTATCTAAAAGAAGTCAAATTATATGAGCCCCAAAATTTTATAGATACATAACGATTTTTTTTCTGATGAATACTTACCTCAGTGCATTTTTCAGTATTCCAGGAATTGTTGCAGTTTTGCCAAGGTAATGGGGAACTGAACGAGTGATACATGTAAAGTATTGGATATGCCATTATGGTGGAAAAATATATTGTTGCTATAATATTTAATATAACTGTTGCATAACCGGCACCTGTAAACAGTACAATGTTTGAATATCATTTCATCGGAGTATTTCGTGATCGCAGCTCATTCTTGGATACTATTACATTTTGAAGTCGAAGTTAATAGAATGGCTGCACATTTTATACGCCGGTTTCGTGTCAATGTTCGCTCATACACATTTTAACCTGCATGCAATTTAAAATTCCATGTCTTACAATGTACACATAAACTTGTATTTGTATATTCTTACCTTTGAACAAAGGATTTATATTGAAGACGGAAATACATCCTGCACTAGCGAACTGTCCCAATGTTGTCTCCAAGTACACCAGTGGTATGCCACAAAGAAACAGAGTAAGGAAATATGGAATGAGAAATGCTCCTGTAAAAACGTGATATGTTAATTTTAAGTTTTTGTTAAAACAATATTATTTATTACGTACCTCCTCCATTTCTATAGCACAAGTATGGAAATCTCCATATATTTCCAATTCCAACTGCATATCCGAGGCACGAGAGTAAATACTCTAATTGACTGCCCCATCGCTCGTGAGGACCCACGGCCATTGACAAATAACCCAATTGTGAGTCCTTTTTGACACAGAACACTTAGACTAGTTGAGGTTATAGTAAGTTAAATCCAGAACTTTATTTGAAGTTTGGATTATGAGCGCACTCTGAACATCGGAAACGCGAGGACTCTTACCTCCTTAAAGATACAAACACAATTGATATAGTAAGCCGGGACCTTTATTTAATAGGATAATAGTGGGATATGGATTGTAATAAAGCCGCAAGTAACCATGGGGAATAAGATCTGTTCTTGCTTGAAGGTACTTCAATAGGTAATATATTGTCGGTAACCGGTAATAAACAATCATAGTAAAAAGGATCGTTTCACTAATTTGGTGCAACACAAGGTCAATATCCAAAGGTAAATTTGAAATACCCATGGTACAAAATTACTATGGAGATAGAACGTTAAAAACACAAGTTCCATACTGACTCAACAGTTTACCCGAGGACATAAGACGTGAGCCTAAACTTGCTAAATTTAAAAATTTATTAAAAAAACACTTTTAAATACGTTGTAACCATTTACGTAAATTAATTGTATTAATGTAACCTAATTTAATAATTTATAAGCTATGTATATAAAGCAAGTTACCTGCAGTCAAACTGCGTCAGCAGTTTTGCGGGGCATGGTTTAAATGAAAGTGTAACTTTTTATGAATAAATATATTACATACATACAGTCAACAAAATTAATAAAAAGATTTTGCTTCTGTAGAGTATTTAATTTTGTGTAAAATTAAGCTCTTAGTGTTTCGATACCAAAACCGAAGTGACAAGTCAGATTATCAGGTGGTAGTTGTCTTGAAGACGGCCCCACATCAGTATCTTGTTTACCTTTCGTTACTTTCACTGGTGCCTGACTGTATTGGAGAACCTAAAAATGAGACTTTTATCTTAAAATTGTATTGAATCAGGATTCTAGTTGTTTATTGGAGAATGAATTGAGTTTCATACTGATAGGTCTCCATCGCCCCAATGTATGGCATCGTTTGTGCCAAGAGAATCATCCCAGTGAAAATGCTGAGAGGGTTGACTCCAGTCTGGTTGTCGAAGGGCACACTTGATAGTCGCCAGTGTCACCCTGTGTTCAGATGATGGTTTCATTGAGTGAGAGCTCTTCTTGTCTGGTTTACCTTGCTTCCCTGTTACGGTCTATATAGAAAAGAATCATGTGTTGATGAATGAAAGTGAATCGATGAGTTAGGATGAACTAACACAAAATTGCAGATTTTTTTTCAGCTACCTATAAATAGAGCGGGACTGAAGGCGAAGATAAATTGGAGGTCACCTTCTGTTCAGATAAAACCCCTGGATAAACCCTTTAGAATAACCAATTGCAGCTTATTAATGCCAAACATGTACCTATGTCCTTAAAACATAAGTAGTACTTTCTTACTCCTACCATGTGCATTCTGTTCGCTTGTGGAATTCATTACCGGAATCCATGCGAAGGGCTCGCACTCTGGACTCGTTCCGTGAGCAAGTTAAGCGTCATTTCCTATCTTCACTTTGACAATACCTCTTTCCTTTATTTATTTGTTTATTTATTTTTTCATATAAACATGCATCTATATTATTATTACCGTTTTTATTATATTTTATAATATTGGTCTTACACCCTTCCCCTTTTTTTGTTCTTATATACTTATTTAATTTTCCGTCATGGGTTGCCTGGAAGAGATTGCTATTAAGCAATAAGGCCGCCCATTGTGTAATGTCTCTGCCAGTGTAATGTTACTGTTATGTCCTTTGTGGTGTTATACAATAAAGAATATTATTATTATCAGTAAATTTAATAAAATAATCTTCAGCGCAGCTTTAGAGTCAAACTATCAAACCAGTCCGAACTTGATGGGCTTGTGTCGTTTTTATTATCACAGAGTTCCCCTAAAAACTTTCCGACTAAATCATCAGATTAGCTCCAAGTTATAATTGTCATATATTGGGTTCGATTCTAGCATAATTTTCTAATCTTAAATATTTTTGACGACAGTGTATCATGCTGTATATAGAATGAAACGGTAATATTGTTGCCATAGTTAAGGGAATCATTATACCAGAATCAAGTTCAATGTAATCTGATTTCCATATGAATGCACGTATTCGGATATCAAAATCTAGCAGTTAAATGCTGAAATAAAAATATGATATTATCAGAGAAGTGTTGTGATTACTTACTTACCACGGAATAAATCAACCGCAGGGTGATGACAGTCCTGAAAGTGTCCCTCAGTGCTGTCAAATCTGGACAGAAGATCTTAACAGCTGGCTCCTGGAAGTTTATCACTTTGTTCCACTGCACCTTGTTGGTCTCGAAGATGGTGTAGTGTAAAATCTCTCTAGAGTTCTTAGTGGTTAGGTTCTTGTAGATGTCAGATTCATGAGAGGATTGTTCAGGATCTATTAAAAGAATTGGACATATTTGAAAGTACTCATGTTTTCAGTATTAAGAAAGTAACGAGTCTCAGTGATAGCCATGTAAGATTTTTTAAGTAAAAAGTACGGCGAATAAACTTAATTAAGCTGATGGATAAAATAAATCTATATTTTTTATTTATTTATAAGAGTAAATGACACCTTCCAAAGTATATAGTGATTCTCCTGAAGTAAAGTGTCTTTAGTTAGTTCCCTATCTTTAGGCAGTCCCTACAGTTCTACAGAAAAACCACTGTAGTCTACCTATCTTGGTAAATTGCTCATTATTCATCTTCTTTTCTCTTTCATACCTAAAACAATCTTGCTATTGAGAATAGCGGAGGGCATCTTCACATCGTCCCAGTCACCGTCCTCGGGGGGTGGTAGCATTTCCACCAAGGACTCGTGGTTACGAAACAAGAGGAATTTGCGTCGTGTGGCATCAAGTAGTGGCAGCTCCAGTTCCACGTGGAATGTTGTCACTGCCCCCTGAAATTAGAAGCGGAAAATCTTTTACCAAGTGGTATCATGTAAGCCTTCAAAATACTAGTAGATTTTTTTTTAAGGTCAAGTACCAAATTATTTAAAACAACAGTAGTCACGCAATTTATTTTAATGAGATAAAATTAACATAATGCCACTGGGGAATAATGTATCTGGTGAAACAATTTTAATAATCGCTTCACTGGTTTCAGATATTACGAACAAACAAAAAACTTTACTTCTTTCTAATAAATATAAGTATTGATAAGTATAATTATAGCCGTGTCACATCACAGCTGTATTCTAGTTGGGGCCCGCACGGACCGCGATATTGCATAGATTATTTTGCGAAATATGAAAGAGAGGCTACTTTACTAAAGTCTAAATACTTTAAAAGTCAAATTAATATTTGGAGTCGCTGCCATACATGTCTGATAGATATGAATTTCCATTAACCTACTACTTAGGTTGTTAAAGGTTAGCGGGCACCAGAAGAGCCTCTAGACGTTTGCAATACTTGTACCCCGTACCCTGTAGAGCGCTGGAACTTTTCTCATCGACAGAAACACAATATCACCAAAATAAGATGTTGCCTTTACTTCTGTAGGCTAAATCGAAGTAACTTTCCCAGATTGGTGCTCTAATTCGAGCGGGAAATTTCGCTATGCTCTATGCTGCTGTATTTGTGAACTAAATGTGATTTTTTATTTGTTACCTTCTCAGGCTTTGGTGGCTGTGGCGCTGACATGATTCTGAACACGGTAAATGTGAAAAAGGCTGCCCTTAGGTCATCAGGGTGTGGCTCGAAGGGTTCCTCCGACCTGTCTGTAGCCATTATTTGGCGGCTATCCAGCCATTTTAGTAGTGGTAGTCGCATCAGGGTTGTTCGGGCGTATCCATGGCACACCTAAGATATAGATATTTTCAGATAAAAAGCGTGAGCTATTCGTTCATAGTTTATTGGAAAAATTTCTAAGGCGCAAACTATATTGAAAAAAATATAATTAAAGATACTTATTTAATAAGAGTTACTGTAAATAGCGCCCTCTATACAGATACCAATGCTTTTCAATGCTTACCGCACATGGGTTTCCTACAAGTAGCAATGCTTGTAAGTTCGGCAGCATCGCCAAGGTATTTAGTAACGGCACCAAATGATAGATGTCGTTGTCAGACAAATCCAGTACTGTGATTTGGTATGGAAGACGTGCTAATGGTTCAATGAACTCTATAAATAGAATCATAGAATATTAAGGCGACGAGCAATTTAATTATTTTTAGTACATATCAATAAAAATACTATACATAGGTACATGGCACAAAGATTGCATTTTACCAAAGTAGTTACTAGTTCATCCATGTAGAGTACACATGAGAACAATTTTATTGATTAGCGGAAAATTCATTTTAATAGGATTTAGCATTGTTTTGTAAAAAAAAAACTTAGATCAAAGAGCTTCACGATTTTTGTTATCTCTTATTTACAAATTGATTCTTAGCTAAATAGAAGCAAAAAATAATTACATAACAACAATTTACTTCAAAACAAACAGTAGCTTTCTATTCACTCAAAGGCTCATCAGGCGAGACATGCTTGTTTTTCACCTATTTTACATAAGAATTTAAAAAGTATTCCATATTTACCATTTGTCAATAAGTTTCTTGCGAGTCCCAGATACAGAAGTTCAGTTGGTAAATATTCCACAAATGCCTCTAAGTTACTCATTCTGTTGAACTGCAACTCGAGTGTCTTTACTCCGGTAGGAATGAGTTGCCCATTTAGGTTGCTCAGGAAATTACCACATAAGCTTAGGCTAACTACATTCTTGTACTCAAGTAAGCTTTCATCTATTTCCGTCATCTGTAAATTAAAGATAACAATCATTGGTAAAACAGCTCTACCACATTTTTGATTTTTTTTTTTGATAAATCTTTTCAGTGCTTTCAATGCCTCTTGATATTCAGCGAGTGAAAGAAAGACATGAAATTGTTATCCGATAATATTTTTAGAGCCGATAGTCTCTCATTGTAATCTCATTGTACCTACTTATGTGATGGGCTGGTACGCTGATACGGTATTGGTTGTGTATTCGACATTAATAGAATAATTTCATTAATCATTTAGATATTTTATTAGGAACGCTATGAAAAGTTAAGCTTCTATTGTCTAACTTCAGTTTATTGAGAATCCCACAGCAACGATAAATTTTTTAGAGATAAAAAGTATTCCGTTTCTATTCAGGTCATACACTTTCTGCATTCAAAATCCGTTCGTAGTTTATGCGTCATTTAGTAAGTAACAAACATACAAACTTTCAAATTTATAATATTAGTATCAATGGTAACATACTACAGTAAGTCCAATATTTATTCATTACTATTTATCTGTAGGTTAATACAAAAATGGTTTTACCTGTGCATCGTTTACTCTTAGAATACTTATTAATTTCAATTCTCGCTTCAGAACTTCACTGTCGCCAGACTTCACGGCTTTCTTGATAAGTTTTATCAGATCGTTAGTTATATTATTTCTGTTTTCAAAACATATTTTGGCTTCTTCATTTGCAAACTTTTCGTTATCCCATAGGGTGATAGGTAACAATTCCCACTGCTGTTCTAAAGTGATGTCGGATTCTTGGTTGAGAAAACCACTCAGGATACTTTGATTAATTTTATTCTGAAGAGCCACGGCGAATGTTCTTGTTCTTATTCCAGGTCTAGAGGATAATTCATTATGGTGTTTAGCTGCCTTTTCAATAAGTGTCCATTCGATGCCCTTTTCTAAACGCTCCTGATAACCTTAACAGTATCTTTGTAGTATCTTAAGACTAACTTAATATTTTACGGTAAAAAGTACGAAAACGCATCTGGTACCTTCAACTGCGTCGTCAGGAACATGCACAAGACTGGACTCGCTGATAGGTGGTCGTATAACTGGAGGTGGCGGTTTTTTGGGGACAGCTTCTTTTACTTTCGGTGGCATTTTTTAGATTTGTATGAAATTAATTAAATGAAAATTTGTATTTGAATCTCTAAAAAAATAAATAAATGTCTCGCTGTCAGTGAGTGACAATTATTGTGCTCTTTGTTTACCAGGGGATATAAATTAGCGACCACTTAACATTGACGGAGCTGTGATAAGTCAAATCACAACGAAAGCCATTATAAAAGAAGAAGAAGAAGTAGCGACAGTTATGGACATTTGTATGAAATATTTCCTATTTTTAATTTTGTGGTTTTTGTTACACAGTCATGTTATAGTCTAAGAGCTATTGAACCAACTGACTAAAAACATTGTAATAGTTGTAGACATCTGCCAGAATAGTATACAGGGCCACCCACGGCCATGCCACATAGAGGGACAGTAAATTAAATATTGAAGATATGATATTTTACTGAAAGGAGATATCATTTTATTTTTAATAATAAGTAGAAGTGCATTCACATATTTTTTTAAATTAAGTAAAACTACATGTATTTTATGATTGCCGTCGAAATGGTTAATTAATTTGATTTCAGTATTTAAAAACTTTTTTTTCAATATCACTGCGCAGTACAATACCCTCTGATCTCATCAGATATTCGATTAAGGAGACGTTACGTACAAATATTTAAATACGCGTGGTAATATTTACGTATTCAAAACTTCAGTCCACAACAAAGGTATATGATTTTCCTATTCATTGTTTCGTGTGTTTTTACGTATAGTAACGTAGGTATCGTTTCATTAAATTTACATAATATAGAAATGATAAGCATAAGTAACATACATACAAAATGTTATTACTAATAGCCGTGTCTATCCAAAATTAGTACATATGTTCCCCAAGAAAACTGTGTAATATGCTTAAATTTTTCACGAAAATTTAATCTATGAAGAAATATATTCATTATTATTTTTCCTTTTATTTTGTTGAAAAAGTCATTGATTGATCTAAAATTAATTGTCTCCGATTAGATGCACTTGAAAATATCACATCAAAATATATGTTCTCGACCATTTTTCAACTTTATTACAAACACTCAAGCAAATGACCAGTTAAATTAAATAGCCGATATAGCAAATTAGTTCTGATAAGCCTTCTTGCAATGGAGTCATTAAAATTTTTCCTCTACAATCTACAATTTCATTCAAGAGTTTTCCTGCACTGTTGGTAAAGCAGTCGCGAAAGGAGATTACTCAGTGTGCCACTAGATGTCGCTTATAATGTTTACTTCTCTGCTCGCCTCTACCATGTGCTTTTGCTTTGCTATTTGACGTGATGTATTATGATGTGAAGTTTATTCGCGATCGCGACCAGGCAAGTGTACGTCGAAAAAAAAATGAGACTGATCGATTAATTACAATCATTCTTGCGACAGCCACTTTTCTTAGCGTAGTTGAAGTCTAATTAACTCAACTGACCTAATTAAGAGGCATAGTAAATAAAGTTGTGATTTGTGCGGGCGGCCAAACAGAGTTTACGTAAACTGACATTGACGTGGAAGTGCGCGGGAAAATTTGATGTGTACCGTTTTTCCTTGGTTAAATTTCTAGCCGCGAGTCGCTACCGGTTGCTTAAATATTGTGTGTCGCTCTGTGCAGAGGTGAAAGCAAAATGTGATTGTGGTGCAGTACTTGTGTGGTGACGTTGCCAACATATTGCCCTTGCTGCTAGATTGGCAACACACCATAAACACGCGAAGTATTTAACTTTATATCCGCATGGTTCTATTGGAGTTATTGATTTGAGAGGTAGATATTATTACGTTCTCTTATTTCATTATGTTAATTTTCATCATATTATTTAAAGTATAATTTTTATACATTGAAATCATAAGATTTTATTAAATACTTATAATATTTATTAAGAAAATAAACGACTACTTTTTTGTATCTCAAGGTTCGTAATGACAGGTTCATCATCATCAGCCTATTAATGTCCCCACTGCTGGGGCACAGGCCTTCCCTATGAATGGAATAGGGAGATTGGACCATGACCCACCACGCGGGCCCAGTGCGGATTAGCGGGTGCTAACGACTGCAGATGCAACCGGGACCAACAGCTTAACGTGCCTTCCGAAGCATGAAGGAGCTCGAGATAGTAAATTTTTGGTCACCCATCCAATGACCGACCACTGCGAAAGTTGCTTAATTTCAACGATCGCAGCCGAACGCGCTAACCACTTGCGCCATCGAGCTCCTCAGCTAATGACAGGTTATTATTACCTAACGGTTAGCAGGAGCTTTTACCCTAATTTTCACAATTAGTACTTCAATTTCAAAATTGATGTCAAGTGGTAGAGAATAAATCCACAAACACTGCATGAATAAATATTTACCTTACTATAAAATAATTCGATTTTTATTATTAAAGCACCGAACAGTTAGATTTTTTAACATCTTCATATAAAAAAAATAACTTTACTACTAAAGCGAAATTGTTTTTTTTTTATAGTTCTAATAAATTCGAAAATAAACTATTTTGCTTAAATTTCGAGTATGAAAGAGTAAATAATATGATTTCAACAAAGATTTGTGTAAAACTCCTTCGAGTGATCAAAGTTTATTTATTAATGATATGTAGTTATTTATTACATTTAGTGTTAGAACTTAAAAATCTGTTTGTGTATGCAGGTCAGTCAGATATACAATAGGATACGCAGTTCAAACATAGATTCGAAGATCGATCGATAAAAAATACATAAACTTACAAAAAATACTTTATGAGAGGAGTAAGGTATACCGGATTTCCCGCTCGAATTGGAGCTACTGTCTGGAGAAGAGACTTCCACCTTGCGGAAGACTAAAGTATAATGCCACTACCTTTTATGGTGGTTTTGTGTTTCTGACGGATAGTAAGATTCCAGGGCTCCACGGGGTAGGGGATTAGGTCAGGGTAGGCAAAGACCCGAGTAATAATTTTTGTATCGAAAACGTCTATAGGCTATGGTAGCAGCTTACCATCAGGCGGGCCATATGATTGTTTGCTACTCTTTTAACATAAAAAAAAAACAATTATAGGCCTATAAAAATATTAAAACCCTATTTTCGTCACATGGAAATGACATCAATGCGCTCCGACTAGGCTATTCGGAAAAAGTTTTCGTTGAAAATGTTTACAAAAAAGCTTTTAAAGTAAATGGAATAAAGATCATGTTGTTACAAAAGGTAAGATCTTTAGTGTTACGGTGAATGTTAATGTCCTATAAGAGGCGATAGTAGAAGGTCAGTTTAATTAAATCAACAGAGGATGCATAAGTCACGTATTAACATATTTAGGAATGTATCCATACTATCAACTAAAGTTGAAATGTCGAACTTATGTAGGTATTTTCGATTATAAAATTTGTTGTATATTGAATTGTCAATTGTAAATTATTAATTAAATAATATTTTTTCTTCTTTAAGCATAGTGTGTACAACAAAAAAAAGAAATAAAATACAAGTGTGCCATCTGTTTTTGGTATGTACACACACAAAAGTTTGAACATTATCAATACAACATGTATCGAGAGAATAGACTTAAGGACGTTCTTACTTTTGTGAACGAACAGTCACTGGAGAGATATCAACTATTGCTACTTTTGTGCAACTGTGTTTAAGTAAAACATATGGCAAGAGGGCAATGTATCTCTGTCTGTTACTATTGTACAGCTCAATAGTTAGCTATACTTACAATAATAAAACTGTAGACGAGACGTGGTTAGAAATTCTAATGTCAGTTTATATCGATTGTGACTATGAACTTTTTATTTTTTACCCGCTTTTACATTGCACTAGAAGTTTTATATTTTTATTCTTAACTAGTTAACCCCACGTACTTCTTACGGGTTAAAATAATTTGGAAGAAATGACGGACCCGAGTCTACCGTACCAAAAGGGACGAACGTCAAATGTTTGACAGGAAAGAAGTTAGAACTTTTATATGGGAAAATTATATTAACGTTTTTAGTATCTTACTCGCAATTTTTCCATATTTTGTCACATTTAAAACCTTCCCTAGACCTCCACGAACATTTCAAGACCAAGATAAGATAAATCCGTTCAGCCGTTCTCAAGTTTTAGCGAGACTAACGAACAGCAATACATTAGTTGTAAAGGTAAAAACTTGATTTAACTTCACACATTTTTACGAAAATTGAGGCCCATCTGTAGCCTTAACTCTGGTGGTAAGGTTTCTATATGTTTAAATAAATCAGTAGTTTACAAGTAGACCACCGCAAGGTACTTAATAATTTTCGCGATATTAACTCCCTTACTGAAGTAAGGTGGTATATACCGTCTTGTAATCCTAACTAAAAAGTGTTTAATAAAAAAGATAAATTTAAAAAATCAAAAAACCCGACTGCTTAAATATTATTTAAAATATAAAACTGAAAAGAAAAAAACAACTCCAGTAGTCTATCATTCTGTTAAGTAAGAAACAAAGCTATTTTAACAGTCACGACCCATTAGATATTCAAGAATGGATCACTTTTTTCAATAATAGGTCCCGACTGTTAAAATAGCTTTGTTCCTTACTTAACAGAATGATAGACTACTGGAGTTGTTTTTTTCTTTTCAGTTTTATATTTTAAGTAATATATAAAGCAGTCGGGTTTTTTGCTTTTTTATTTTTTTTATATATGTACATGGTGGTCCAACTAGTGACGTCAGCATTTCTTTTTAGATTCCTTGCACCTGGGGGTATCCGAAAATACCCTATGTATGTTCCGCGATTTATCTTAGTTTTCGAGTTATATTTTTTTTGTGTATTTTTAATGATTTCTGCCAGCGAGGTTTCAAAAATTCTTATCTTTTCTCGTAGTAGGTATTTTGCAGTCTTTTTTTTGTGACCTAGTTGTCTTGAATGTTGTTTTACTAAAAAAATAATTCAGCTTCCTGCAATTACTTAAAGTTACTCAAAAAAGGCTTGAAAGTTGGAACTTTAGTTTTTAGTAGGTTTTACTCAAACATTCAACTTTAATGTACAAAAAGGAGTTTCCATAGGTTCTCGCTAAAATTAAAAACTCCGCATGCTTCTAAACTACCAAAAATCATAAAGCCTATTTTTGTTGTAATTGACTTTTGAAGGCTAAAAATCATGATTGAAACATGATTAAAGCATTAAAAATATTTTATTTACTTTTTATCATTGTTATGGTAAATTTAACTTAAAAATGTAATTTCAAATTAAATTAAATTGAAATTCCTGTAAAATAACTTTAGTATGTGTAATTTTACAATAATTTCGGTTTCACCACTAAGTTTTAAAATACGAACAAGAATTGAGACAAAAACTTACGGAAGTGGAAAGAAAAATAAAGCAAGAATATTCAAGTAGCTTCAGACAAGTAAAAAGTAACTTTTTAAGACATTGCCAATTTTTTGTGTATTCAAGTTGGGGGAAGGAATTTTGAAAATTTATTGTAATAAATAATAATTTTTCAGGAATTTGTGGTTTTTATTTGTATCAAAAAACAAGGTAATTTCCCAACTAGTCATTTTGATCTTTATTCTTGCTCACATTTTAAATCTTAGTGGTGAAACCGAAATTATTATAAAATTCAACATGCTAAAGTTATTTTACAGAAATTTCAATTAAATTTAATTTGAAATTACATTTTTAGGTTTATTTTCCATAACAATAAAAAAAGGAGATAAAATAATGTCTAATCGTGTTTCAACGATTTTTAGCCTATCCACCTTCAAAAGCCAAAATTACAACAAAAATAGGCTGATTAAGTACATTTTTTATGATTTTTGGTAGTTTAGAAGCATGCGGAGTTTTTAATTTTAGCCAGAAGCTATGGAAACCCCTTTTTGTATTGAAGTTGAACATTTGAGTAAATCCTAAAAAAATTAAAGATCCAACTTACAGGCCTTTTTTGAGTAACTTTAAGTAATTGCAGGAAGTTGAGTTATTTTTTTATTAAAACAACATTCAAGACAATTAGTTCACAAAAAAAAGACTGCAAAATACATACTACGAAAAAAGATAAGAAGTTGTGAAACCTCGCTGGCTGAAATCATTAAAAGTACACAAAAAAAATTATAACTCGAAAACTAAGAAAAATAGTGGAACATACATGGGGTACTTTCGGATGCCCCCAGGGGCGAGGAATCTAAAAAAAAATTGTTGACGTCACTAGTTGGACCACCCTGTATATAGATTAAGCAGCGGTACCAAGTAAAATTAGTGCCGAGTTATAGATATAATGGTTCTCAGTGCAAAAAAATATGAAAATATGAAAAATATGAAAATTAATATATAATACTAATATAGATAAAACTAATATCATACAACTAATGCCTGCGCTGATAGGACGTTTGTTTTTTAGTCGTGGTTTGTTGGTTTAGTTAAAAAAAAATACATTTGTCGTTAGCTACCCTCGAATCCATCAAAGTCTTTTATTTCAAGAATATCTGAATGATAACATTTTGCAATGCAAAATAAAGCTTCGATGCTGCTAAAACTATAGTTTCTGCTGAACTGTTAATTCCACGAGACAATTTTTTTAACGAAACTACTTATGCAAGTACTACAACAACAAGTTTCATTATGCATGGCACTAATTTCGTAATGTAAGTTCGGCTTTATGAGTCTTGCAAGGCAAATTAACTATAAATTAGTATCTAAAGTATTTAATAAAAAAAGACAATAACCTAATCTTTTTCTCGCTTATTATGCTTATTAATTATATTTATGTCCTTTATTTCACCATCATGACAGTGCTTAAATATATTATGGTTTTTGATGATATATTCCATTATTGTCAAGGATCAAAAGAAAAACATAGGGCGTGTTAGCTGCTAACATTCCCGAGCAGCAAGATGTCCTCGTAAAGTTTTCTATAACGGTCAGGGGAACCAGTCTTGTAGTTCGGGACAGAATCGTAGGCCATTCTTATGCCAAAAGTTACGTGTCCTTGAGGTATGGTTTAGGGGAATGATGTTAATACTAATGCATGTTTATGTTTTATTTTTCTGTAAAAACCTTTTATAAAGTATTAGAAAACTTTGAAAAATAGATGGATGAAATCGGTAAATATGTTCAAAGGTTAGCAGGAGAAGTGGATATTAATTTTAAATTTACTTAACATTTAGGATATCTTTAGATTTTTTTATGCGAGATTGCTAGCGTAACTACCTCTGAACTCTGAAACCTCTGATGAAAGCCGCAAAGAATATGTGGAGTGGTGCTCATTTTTCATTCATTCATATTTGATAATCGTTAATCACCATAATATTCTGCAACCAATAAATATTATCAAAGTGAATGAATTAGCATAACTCACCACTATCTGTGCTTTTTAAGTATTACTTACATAATTAACCATTGCGAATTGTGGTTTGTTATTGTGATTGTTCTTAACATATGTTCATTGTACGTGCTGTCTTGCACTGGCGACCGCGACCTTCAAATAATGTTTATGTGTTAATATCATTACTTGAAATATATTAAAAATGCAAGTGATTGTCTTTTATAACATTTGATTACTAATCCGAATATATGTCGGTCATGTGTGCGAATAGTATACACATCAAAAGTGTCTAGAAATCTGCATTATTTTCCAAATCTAGTCTTCCAGATTGGATTATTAGTTAATTAATTCCTACGTAACTATAAGTTAACAGGATACTTACCCATATATTTTGTAAAAATAACTGCAGAAGTTAAAAAAATTGAGAAATAAACAAAGTTGACCGGCGTATCAATTCTTGGTCCTTAGACACTTTTGACTACACTAATTTCTCCATTCTATGCTTGTACTCTTCATTATAATTTATCGGAGTTGGTAGCACAACACTTTTTTACAACACCTTTGGCACATAATTTATTTGGTAAGTTTAATGTCTTTTCTTCCACGTGAATCATTTGAAATGTTTTTAACTGTGGTAAAGAATGGGAGCAAAGAAAGTCCACTGCATAGAAGGACGATTAGTAACGACTTCATTATTTTTTTTTAACATCGTGTTTACAACGAAATTAAAGTCCCATTTTATTACAAACTTGAACACGTATGGCAAATGTCGTGTTGTTGTCGTTGCTTATTGGCAGAAATAAGACATACTTGAGGTTGTTCTTAGGTTCATAGGTTCTTCTGCCAGAGAGCATGCTTCATTAAAGTTACTATCGGGATTGCTACTATGTTACTTCGTTATCACGGCAATATCAGTTACTCCGTGATCATGGTGCTTGCAACAGTGTCGAAATATCGGAGACTCACAAAAATCCGGATACATCGTAGCAATCCCGCCAATAACTATAATGTAAGTGACCAAATTGATCGATCGGGCGATCAGTTCTAAATCATTAATTCGTCAATTCGGCATAGTTAGGGTATTTTAAGGTTCCGTAGTCCTGCCAATGAATCCTTATAGTTTCGTCATGTCCGTCTGTTCGTCCCCGGTTTAGCTTGGAGACTATTAGCACTAGAGAGCTGTAATTTGTATTCCCTTCTCAAGGGATGCTCGCTTCAGATGAAGCTTTTAGTCAGTAAGAGTCTGACAAAACCTTGCAGCCGGCTGTAGGGTATCCATGAGGATATCACATACGCTCCCCCGTCTGGGAGGAAACAAAAAAAAAATCGGCGATTATAATTCGTATTAAAAAAAAATATCGAATTGATTTTAAGTTTGAGACGCAGTTTGACTCTGATTTAGGTATTTTAGTTGAGGTACATAGATTGATATTAATTAGTTTTTCTAATTTCAGATATAGAGAATAAAGACTCCTCCTTGACTATATTGTGGTAACTACACAACACTAACACGCACTTGGCCGTCTTTTTTGTTTATTTTAATATTTTATTATTTTCAAGCTTTAAAGATCTAAGAGGAAGTAAAACAATGTCTATAATAAAATCATTTACCTTTCTTTTGCCTGACCACAATCGTTGTTTTTTAAATATGTAATTATATTGTAGGATGGACCCTTCATGTGCGAGACTGACTAGTTTTGAGTCGGATTTCTATGAACGTAAAAAATGCGATCTTATATGGGAGCGGTATAAAAATATACATTAAAACGCACTACATGATAATTACCTGTGCACGAACAAAAAACAAATACATGGTGTACTTGATTTTGAGTTTTGACGTGTGTAGAGTGATAGAGTCGTCCATGACGTATCATGTATTTGTAAAATTATAATACTTAAATAAGCGACCAAATTTGACTGTAAATACATTTTATGTATTTATTTGCATAATACGAAACTCCAAGAGAGTGGGAGAGAAAATTAAAGATAATAAAGAGAAATATTTTTATTAATGATATTGACTAAAATTACATGATCTTGACAGATACAGAGTTGTAACGTCTCCTTTGCAAGACTATATCATATACAACAGCTCTATACAATTATTTCTATTGACTTTAATAATTTGTCTTGGTATATAATAGGCTTATATAATAAGATTAATCGTTATAATTTTGAGCTTAAACAATTGTTTAAACATCGGGCACCTTAATCATAGATATTTTTTACGTTTTGATATTAAATATACACAGCTATTAATATCAACATGTATGCCTCATTGACGTGCATTCAATTACTAATACTAAAAGTTGAGTAGCGTTCTTAAATTCCAATTCTATTACTATGGGTAAAAAAATAATATTTTCTGTCGTTAGCTGTTGATAGCGTTATCGTTATCTCAAGCAGCAGAAAGTGCATTCCGACTATTAATACTTTGGGCTTTTAGCTCACAACATATGTAGATTATTTTGACAAACAACACTACAATTTATTTAGAGCTTCGCTTCATCGTAAATTTTCCACATGATAGTTCATCATCACTACTCAATGTCACTCATCGTAATGTTAGCAAGGATGATATTTTAATGTTAATATTTATTTTTAATTTGCCTCATTAGGATGTTGTTTTTGGTATCATCTTGCATAACACAGCCTCATTAATAGGTAGGACTCACCATCAGGTTTATTTAACAACAACAGCAGGTTGTAATCCACAGCATCTTTATTGCCCACCAATAGGATGTTTCTTAAGATAGTGTATCTTTGTAACTAAAACCTTCCAATATTATATGTTAGGGAGATTTGAAACCAATTGGTTTTACTTGATAGTGAACTTGATGGTCAGCCGAAATGGCAACGGCCGCATGTCACTTGAGAGAGTTTTAAAAATCTGATTTTTGAATAATAACTAATTTAAATAAGTATAGAAACACTCAATTCTCTTCAAAGTATAGAAACTAAACTAACACTTAATCTTATAGAATTAAGATTTCGTGTTTATAAACGGGCTTGTGTGGAGCTAACTAGATAAAAAATACCGTTTGCTAATTATATTTATCGACTCAGAATGTCGCAAATAATCGAAATGAATTTAGGATTTATCGATTATGAACCTGTCTGCAAGGTTAGGAGACCGGTTGCGAGTGGTTTACACTCTGCTTGCCCTTTCCTTTGCACTCATATTGGCGATCAACTCGTGCAGACACACATTTTAATGAGTTGCCTTGATTTTTAGGTATATTTTTTCTTATAAATATCTATACCGACAAAAGAGTATTGTTCTGCAGTCAGGAAGGTATATGAGGTCAACTACCAATAAACTCAGAATCGATCGTGTGTTTAAATGCTGTCAGTATATAATAAATACGTGAAGGAAGAACTTTTGTAGTTAGTTGCCCCTTTTTGAGCATTTTTTGTTCCTCCATGAACAAGTAAGATTACGGATAATGAAAGTTTTTATGGAGGTAGAAAGCTGATATTATTTATGATTTAAGATATTATTATATTAATACATTAGAAATCCTTTAAATTAATAAAATAAACATCACATATGCTACCATGCGTGTAACATACCTACACATAATGATTCTTTGATGAAGAACTGGAAGGACACAATGATTTTATTAAAATAAGCGGCCGCCCGTGACTTTGACCGGATGTTTGGTTTTTTGAGAATTCCACGGGAACCAAAGATTTTCCGGGTTAAAATCCTACGTCTCAATCCATGTCAGAAACTTTATGCGTACCAAATATCATCAAAATCCTTTCAGCAGTTTTTGCGTGATTGAGTAACACACAATACAAACTTTCACATTCATAGTATCGGTAGGAAACTATTGGAAAGAATACTCCCTTTCTAGAACTAAAAAGACCGAAATTCAACTTTTAGACGAAAACTTTTTTCCAAAATTGCTAAAACATCTTCATTTCTTCAACTTTTTTCACCATTGTTTCAGAATCATCGGGGATTCCAAAATGCCGTTCACTTTAGAAGAGGGTGGGTTTGGTATGGGGGATTACGTGGTCTTCGGGGTGCTGTGCGCCGCGTCGTGTGCCGGCGGACTGTGGTACAGTGCGGTCGGGTCCAAGACAAAAGCCGTATTAGATGTCAAAGATTACCTGCTAGGCGGAAAAGCCATGTCCACATTCCCCGTTGCCATGTCGTTGATCGCTAGGTGAATATGCCAATGATAATTTTTTTTGGTTTCATGATACTGGAAATCAACTAGAACGATAAAAAAATCAAAATATCTTTGAATGTCTTAGATGTAAAAGTCTACTTCCGCAAGGTATATGTCGAGCTCCTTCGGAAGCCGTCGGCTCGGGCTGTGTTTGCAATAGTTAGCAGCTCACCAATCCGAATTAAAAGTTCAGTTCTGTCTAAATTAACGCATGACTGTAAAACATTAGGAAAGCTGATGATGGATCGCATTTTTATCAAGTTATTGTTGTAGATAGTGAAGGCACTAGACCTGTCGATCTTGTGTGGTCGATTCCTAATAAGGAACCCACACTGTCACTGCTGGCAAGAAGTCACACCTCATAGTTTTAGTAGGTAGGCTGGTGAGCGTCGTCCTGGTTAGGACTAGGTGTACACGGGAGAACCTATATAACCCTATTCCCTTACCCAGCGGCGGGGTAGGTACCTATAATGCATTTCTCTGGGTTAAAAAATGGACCTGTGGGACATAAGATAAGCTGATCATGGCTCATGACGTTATTTTTTAACAGTTACGTGTCTGGGGTCACAATACTCGGCACCCCAGCGGAGATCTACAATTACGGTACGCAGTATTGGCTGGTGATATTGGGTGTGGCGCTCAGCTGTGTGGTCGTGGCCACGGTGTACCTGCCAGTGTTCTGCACGCTGCGGCTCTCCTCCTCTTACGAAGTGAGTGTTTCCTCTACTTTATAATGGCTTGCTTTGTGAAAAAATTCTGGGGTGACTATTCTTGTCACCCCAGCGGATATCTTCAATTACGACATCCTGGTGACAGTGGTCGTGGCGCTCAGCTATGTATTAACTGCCAGTGTACTGTACGCTGCGACTCTTCTCCTGTTATGAAGTAATTGTTCCTCTACTTCTTCGTTGTAATGGCTTGCTTTGTGAAACAATTCTGGGGTGACTATTCTCGGCACCTCAGCGGATATCTTCAACCACGGCATGGTGGTGATAGTAGTCGTGGCGCTCAGCTATGTTTTACCTGCCAGTGTACTGTACGCTGCAACTCTTATTCTCTTACGAAGTTATTGTTTCATTTTCTTAATTTTCATAGCTTGCTTAGTGACCGGCAATGTTAAGTGGTTAGCCGTTACGAAGATGATGAAGAGAGTATGGAAGATGTGTTTCTGGCGCATTTAGCGATTTCTGTATTTTACGTATATACATAAGTATTAGTATGAAACAATTCATGCAGGTCCGATTCATATTTTTTGTTTATTCGTTCCGCAGAACCTATATCAAATCTTCGCTGTCGAACACTAAATGACCCCGCAGAATCCTTGTGGGAGCTGGCGCTCGGCCAATTTTTCTGTAACTTTGGGAGATGATAGCTCATGATATGTGCATTAAAAGACCCCATAGGCCCAATGGCCAAAAGTTCATAGATGAGGAGCTACAGCGTGTCAAATTCTAAAATGTACGGCTATATAATGTTTCTGTTGAACGTGAATTCAGAACTTACATCTAAAAGCTTATTTCATTGTAGTTTAAATGTAGCAATTCCATTCAAGGATGTCTCTGGATTCGACCGTGCTGACCTTCATCCTGATCTGATCGGGATGTGTGAATATCCACGGCCTGAAAGTATTTTTCTCTATTTGAACTTGAACCAACCTTAATGCTGATACGATTGGATAGATCAGGCTCTGGATTCAGATTCAGTGGCCCGAAAATATACGGATCTGTGGGTTTTGTTTATGTTCTCGATTTGACCATGAAATGGCCTTCATCCCGAGCTGATCGTGTCGAGCCAACATAAGATTTGGATTCAGCAATCCAGAAAACATTTGGTTTTATGGATTTTCACCACCTTGGAAGTATTTTTCTGAATTTGGCCTTGAACTGACCTTGATGCTGACCCGACTGGATCGAATAGACTCTGGATTCGGATTCAGTGTATATGTGTGTGTACATCACCAAAACCATTTCTGAATTCACGTTCAACAGAAACATTATACAGCCGTACATTTTCGACTTTGACACGCTGTAGCTCTTCATCTATGAACTTTTGGCCATTGGGACCATGGGGTTTTTTATCCACGTGTCATGAGCTATCATCTCCCAAAGAAAAATTGGCCGAGAGTCAGTTTCCATAAGGATTCTGCGGGGTCCTTTAAAGTGGATATTATTAAAACTATCAAAGATAGGTACGTTATCCTTGTATCACTGTTGGAATTGTAAGTATTTATCGCTACGAAAAAAAAACGTGTATTTACACGTTTTAATCTTTAATCAACTGACAAAATCCGGTATACCATACCGGATTCGATTACACGTACTTGCAATAACAAGTACTTTATCTTGAAATATCTATCGTTGCAGATATCTGGCAAGATAATATTAATGTACGCAAAATATATTGTGTTAATTTGCTATAATAATTTTCTTATTTTATCTCGAGACATTTGGATTGGTCAGTTTTAACAAAAAATGGGATCCACGTTATTTTTGTAATATTTGCAATAACATAACACATTATACAAAACTAAAAATTTAGTTTTTAGTTTTAACATTTTAAAAGTTGTTTATTAAAAAACACTATGTTTTGTGATATGGACGTGGACCCATTTGTCATATAAGTATGTGCTTATACCCGATTGGATGGACAATATAATAGTGTTTAATAGTAACAACATAAAATAAAATCAAGACAACAGTTAGAATCAAAATTTTTATTTGTGCAACAAGGACATTCAATTTTAAATTTATTTACATATGCAAATATAACAAGAATAACCAACGTAATTATTTCGGTAAGCACAGCTATTAATATACAACTAGGGGTGACTAAATGGGCCGAAATTCGACCTTACTAGTTCTCCAAAGAATATACTTCTATAATGTTCTGCTGTATAGTATTCTATGAAATGTTTATTTGAATTCAATGGATTCCTAATGTATTATTTTATAAAAATATTAGCTTTCTGCATTTCTCCTCCCTATAAACTTTTATGAAGTAATTTCTCATACTTCTCCATTAGCAGAATGTGCTTAAAAAGGAGTACGACCCACCAGTTTTTCCCTCACCTATTAATATAATGATGCTAAAAATAACTTTAAACACACTAGACAAGCACTGGAAATACTTGTTCGGTTCGTTCACTTAGATTTGCTTCTTCTTAAGAAAGTAAGAGTGCAATTTTATGATCTCATATCTGCAAACACTAACAAATAAATACAGAATATTGCACCTAACACGTTTCGTGATTAGGTTTACAATCGTATATCCCATTTGGTAGATGATTGCGCCTCGCGACGGACTTTGTACTGTGCTTATGTTAAAACCAATTTTACAGTTAACACACAAGTTTTGACGAATGATGATTTTATAACATCTGAATATCTATGAAGTATATGTTATGCTGGTACAAACATAGGTTACAAGTTACGTATACAAAAAGGATGCATACTCATAAAATGTTTTCTTTTACAGTATTTAGAGTTAAGGTTCAACCGACATGTTCGTGCGGTGGCGTCCATTCTTTTCCTTTTGGATGAGGTAAGTGTTTGTTTTATTCAATAATCAGCGATTAATTATACCTAAACAATATTGTTCTTCCTATGAATTTACTGTAGACCTAAGTTTGACAATTCTATTTCTTGTTTAGCTATAGATATCTTCTGTCGAAATTGGGTACCTACAAAATCTGTACAGTAAATAAGAAATTTAATAGATAAGGTACCGGAATAGACCAAAGTTTTTCAGCCCGATAAAAATATTTAAAAATCCAAGAATCTAACTACATCTAATCGATTCAGTTGTTAGTCTTGATAGTCCTGGAGCCATTTAAAACACACGTAAAATTTGATCCAAATCGGTTCAATAAAGTAAATAAACACAGTCAGTTAAAAAAATAGAAGAACATTCATATTATATTTGAACTATAAATGCTGTTGCATAATGATAATAGATTCTTTGTATACAAAAATAGTTCTGACATTACATTACATAATCTTGTTATGAGTCGCGTACATAGAATTTGGTCTATCTACGAAGACGAAAATGATTTAGATAAGATTAATTATGATATTATTACCGTGTTAATACTCCACTTGTGTGGTTGCACCTAACTTATAGGCAATGTAAACATGACTTGTCATAATATTTGTAAAGCTGTTGTGTAGGTCATAAAATTTAAACATTACGGAACAAAAAATAGACAGTACATAATTTATCCATGGTACTAACACAATGGCATTAATAATTTAAAATGTTAAGAAAAGGAATTTCTTTGTTATTCTTCATATTAATAAAATCAATATGTTTTAATAACATTAGGAGGATTTTTGTATGAAGGTATTTCAACTATTGAACAAACGTTACGTCATAATCATACGTAGTTCAATCTAACTACGTGCAAAACAGAACGAGTTTTAAATTTGGTTGAAATCTCTATAATAACATCGATTTAACCCATTGAAAACAAAAAAAATCGGGTTTTTAAACAACAAATATAGGTAAGATCGTCATCAAATTTATCACAAAAAGATTTGCATTCCATGGAATTCCAATCTGCGGTGACGTTATTAATTTACTTTCAGTCAGGGTCACAAATCCGACTGGCCGTCATATTTGCAAGCAAGATTTATTTAAGATCACATAATCACTTCCTATTACGTTAAAACATATCGTTGGGAGTATTGGCGTAAATAGTGCGGTTGGTTGTGCTCATGATTGATCTCGTAGATGGATTGTATCGGTTATTTGTCAAACATGGACTTTGATCAGATAATATGAAGTATGTTTCGCGCTCGATTAACAAAAATCGTTATATATTTAACTGACGTTGAGTGCAGTCATAGATATAAATACTATGTCTATGACTGCAGCTCTGGCCCATTAGTTTTTTATTAAAAGATTAATTTGTCGCTGATGATGTCAATTTTATTGTCTATTAAATTTCGAACTAAATAAAAGTATACCTCATCATCATCATCATCAGCCTATTAATGTCCCCACTGCTGGGGCACAGGTCTTCCCTATGGATGGAATAGGGAGATTGGGCCATGACCCACCACACGGGTGGATTGGCGGGTGCTAACGACTGCAGATGCAGCCGGGACCAACGGCTTAAAGTACCTTTCGAAGCACGGAGGAGATCGAGATAGTAAATACTTGGTCACCCATCCAATGACCGACCACTGCGAAAGTTGCTTAACTTCAACGACCGCAGCCGAACGCGCTAACCACTTGCGCCATCGAGCTCCTTAAAATTATAAAGGTGAAACATTGTGAGTGTGTATGTTTGTTACTTCGTCACGTCTAAACGGCCGGAGAGACTTTAATAAAATTTGGTATGGAGTTAGCTGACACACTGGATTAACACATAGGCTACGTTTTACTGCGGGAAAATATCCCTAATATACCGCGGGTAACACCGCGGGACACAGCTAGTAAAATATAATTACGATTTTCGTATTTAATTCAATATGTCTAGTAGATAATCCTCGCACAGCTAGATCGAAGAAGCAAGCAAAAAGAGCACAATGATGCTACAATGAAATGCAAAAACAACATCTCGATCATCTCATTCGCACGCGATGCTATAACGCAAACTGGGTGAAAATATTGCGTTGCGTCATCGCTTTGCACATAAATCTGGTTTTTTTGCAATAACCTAGCCCACATATGGCCAAAATCCATATATTAATATAACACGCTTAAGCTACTGAACCGATTCACATGAAATTTGATAAAGAGATAATTTGAGTCCTGGAGAAGGGTACAAGATAGTTTTTATCCTAGAAGTCACCCTTAGGCATTGTCCTAATACAACGCGATAACGCGAATGGGCGATGCGATCATCGTACGAGTCGACGATCAAACATATTGATCTAGAATAGGTGTCCTAATAGCCGATCGCGCGATGCATTCGCGCGACTAAAATGTTTAAAAATCTATTCGCGCGAACTTAGTTCGCGCGAACGCGCAATCAAACCTGTAAATGATGAATAGGTGTCCTAACTGAAGTTCGCGCGATGATCGCGTCGCGTCGATAGGAAGCGGGGAGAGGGGCAGGGCTAACCCGTTCCGTATTCGCGTTCTATTAGGACACCCAGTTCGCGATCACGCGATGGTCGCGTCGTTTAAACGCGCGATGATCGCGTTATCGCGTTGTATTAGGACAATGCCTTATAGGGGGTGAAAAGGAAATAGAAGCTTGTATGGGAAATTACTTTTTCCGCGCAAACGAATGCATACTAGCTTCTATATCCTATAAAATATATATACGAAAGCAATCCCTATAGGTAATTACTAAATTGATTATTTTCTCGGGTTCACTATTTTTAAGACAAACTCTATCATTATAGTAAAATTATCATAGAGAAACACGGCCGACGCGGCGAGCGTCAGCTGTGTTGCTCTATGTGAATTTTGTTAGCGGGATTGATATCATGTATGTAGATACCTTGCATTGAAAAAATATACTCCTCTTATATGAATTATTGGTATAATTTATTCATATTTTAATGATCATTCCAAAGCAGATAATATTTTCCGTATTGTAATCTTGATACTGTTGTACCAGTGAACTTTAGACAAGTAAGTAGGTAATATAGTTTTAAAACTGATTTCGATCTTAGAATGCGATATACCGAACGTGTATCAATTTTGTTGTTAACACACGTAGCTAATGAAAACGTCAAAAATTACTTGTCATCTTGATAAAGTTACCTAGGCACAGTTATATCTCAGAATGATGTGTTTTGAGATAACGTGTTCTAATGTATATAAAATTACTTAAGCCTAATCTTTTATTTCAATTAAACCCTAGCAGATATTTAGGAATTATAAAAAATCGGTTGATCATATTCGGGGAACCTGAAAACGTTTATGTACGTTGAATAACTAAACCAAAATTCATGTTGATTGATAAAGTTTAATGTGGTTTAAAAAACTGTACCTTAAAAAAATACAAGTCCTGTTCAAACTGCCTACCATTGTTACGTATGCAAGCACGGACCCTACCACCTTTCCTACGACGTTTGTTACTAAAGTCCTTTTATTTCTCAGATAATGTAAGTTTTGGACAAGCGCTTTATTTTAAAATGATCACTAATTTTTCAGCTTTCAGAATAGTATCAATTCAATGTTAGTCAGAGTGGGGTATTTTACTCACAATTCATAAATTAAAGGCAGCAAGTCATAAATAAAAAAAAACTAAGAACCGTCACAACTCTGTAACCATTCAGTTTTGCCCTTTAGTTCACTGGACCTAATTTGTTGCTAATGACCTCTCGTACAACTCCTTTCAAGGAATAGGTCGAGTTTTCCTGTCACCCTGTATAAACTGTATTTTATATTTTATATCTGAAGGTGATTCTTCCAAAAAATAAAGTCATTTTTTATCTAGTATTTGTGAAAAACGATGTTGCACGCTTCTTCTCTCATATTTTTTTTAAAGATCACCTTATTTGTTCAACTGGCAACTCAGCGGAAGACATAATTAATATAAAATTCTTCATTCGTGTATTTACATTACGTCAATGGTACTGGACTGGAATGGTGGTGGACTTTAGACATACACGACTTACAGTGTGCATGGATACGCGTCAGTAAACACTGGACAATTGGCAATTTGAGACCAACAATCTATTTGTTTATTAATTTTGCCCGCAACATTCTGCTCGGACTTTGTCTCATTACTTGCCCACATGTTAAATTGATACGCGGTACTTTTAAGACTTTTAATTGAGGCCTGTTAACTTAAAATCATATTCAGACATTGAACGGGAAGGAAAAAAGGAAAGAAATTATTTGTTTTTTGTGTAAGGATAAATATTATACACTGACATTTAAAACCAATGGAATTATGTCTTAAAAAGAAATAAACCTTTCAATTAAGAATGTTGATGCAAGTGACCCTAATAAATTTTTAACTCACAACTCTACACGATACAATCTGGTTTAAAGTTTTTTTTATATTTCTATTGGGCAACAAAAAGTCCGTCGGATCTGTTACTTAAATAAAATGTTTTTACAGGTATTGTTCCTTCCTATGGTGGTCTATGTTCCGGCTCTCGCATTTAATCAATGTACGTATTCATATATATATAGTTTCATTTAATTAATGTTCTTTAAGTAAAAAAATCTTATTATTAGATGCTTAAATAAAGTAATTAATGTTTTTATGTCTTATGTGTTCAAGGTCTTATGGTTGGCAAGTTACTTGTGGGTATTTGAGTTGCTCGATTATTTTTAAGCTGTTTAATTAAAGAAAAATATGTCGTTTATATACTTGAACAAATGTTCTGTAATTCTCATCAGTATTATCTGGATCTCAACTTAACCCTCTGCAGGTTTAGTCATTATAAACGACCTATTTTGAAGGAATGTCGCTCTCAAACTAATATCTCCTATGTGCAAAAATAAAACTTTAACATAGCAGTTAATATTTGACAATATTCTGGCTCATGCACATATCATTTTTTTAAGTAACATATGTTCACCGTTATGATGCTAAAGATTGACATAGCTATCTTTGCATTCGAAAATTGGTTAGTATACTAAAGTATACTATCTTGTCATAATGACGGAAATATCGAAATCTTTGATTATAAAAAAAGTGCACATAGCAGTTGTTTTGAAAACGACGATATATTCATCTATAGTGTTGTTCATATCAGTGGATAATATTTTTATTTTCAATTGTTGTTTTTTTTTAGTGACGGGGATAAATGTCTTTGTCGTTGGAGGCATAATGGTTGTAATATGTGGACTGTACACAGTGTTAGTAAGTATTATTACCCTATAATAGCAGTTCTGATAACTTTAGAAATATGATATTGTTTATTACGGGGATTAGTGGATGATCTAATCTTGAACCCGATTTTTTAATGATTAAATCAGAAAGCTGGTACAAGTCTAACATGCCGCAAACAAAAATAATGGTGTTTGAACTATTGACAAACAGATCGATGGATCTTTTTGATAGGCATGGAATGTATTGAATATCGACAGAGAAACGACGATATAGCATAGCGTTTAGTAACATCATTCCATATCTATGGAAAATTCAAATAACAAAAATTTCAATTTAACAAAACCAGTTGATAGCCCAAGAAACAGAGGTCGTAAAATTTTGTTATTTGGCTTTTCTCCATTGCTATGATTTTTTTTTAATATAAGTTTTTTTTGTGAACTCCGTGTTTTACCCTTATGCTTAATCTTAGTTACCCAGCCAAGTGCAAATTTGTAAGCTATACTTGGTGTGTATGTAATAAAATATAAATAGGTATACCTATGTGTTAAAATAAATAAATAAATATTACCAACACTTACACCAATTAGCCTAGCCCCAAAGAAGCACTGTAAGGCTTGTGTTATGGGATACTAAGGTAACGATATAGATATACATATACTTTACATATTTATATAGAAATACATATTAATCATCTATGACTGGAGTACAAATGCTCGTATTCATCACACAAACATCTGCCCTCACCGGGATTCGAACCCAGGACCTCTCGAGTCGGCGACACCATGAAACCCGGCATACAAACCATTCGGCCACGGAGGTCGTAAAATGTTGAGGACGTTGAGATTTTGTTGCAGTTCTGAATCATTTCTTATTCAAAAATATTATGATTCCAATTATAATGAAGTTAGTTTGTAAAAATGAAATATAAATGTAGTGTAAAAAACACGGTATCACTTATGTTAACAACAGTAGCTACATGTATGCAGACGTAGTGGGGACAAAAAGTAGCCATATGAATATTGACATAATATAAAAAACTATTTTCATTTACTTTTGTTTGTAAAACCATTTGTGTAAATACGTGATGATAATTAAAGAAGATGATATTATGTTTACAAAAAACTAAGGTATTTGTAGCGCTCATCAATTCGCCCACTATTTAAGGTAAATAATACTAAATTCATAAAATTTATCTGATAACTCGCTTTAAGAATCCCAATCTCTGATTTCTGTCGTGCTATTGATAATAACAGTAAATCCTTTTTTGTCGTAATTAAATCAACGCGACGAGCGCACGACCATATTTTTAGCACAACGGGAAATTAAAATTTAAATAAGAATACGAGAAGTACCTAATACTATCAATATTTTCGGCATTTCAGATTAATCTGTTATAAATACAAGTTAAAAGTATTCGCAATAAAAACTACTTTATTTAGGTCATGTACTTTGATTATTTACTCTCTAGATAGAGCGTCACCTTGTAAATACTGCAATAAAAACAGACCAGGTTTATATACTTGTGTGTGTGACACGCAAAACAGGTATTTTATCTGTCGCTTCACTTCATCATAGTATAAAACAAAGTCGCTTTCTCTGTCCCTATGTCCCTTTGTATGCTTAAATCTTTGAAACTACGCAACGGATTTTGATGCGGTTTTTTTAATAGATAGAGTGATTCAAGAGGAAGGTTTATATGTATAATACATGCATAATATAGTAGAGAAACACTGATAATTTTAGAGGTTTTTAATGTAAGGTCGTAAATAAACACATTTTTTGCGCTTACATTGCAAACGCTGGCTGAACCCCACGAGATAGATCAAAATAATGTACTACAGTATTGTACACCTTAAAAAGGTCTACAAAAAAGTCCGCGATGGTATATGTCTATCTCTTAAGGATAACCCACAATAACCAATTTTTATCCTATACTTTTTACGAGTAATAATAGATTACTTTCGAAGCGATTTTAAGCAATATAACATTCATCCTCATCCAATAAAGTACCTTAAATACATTGTGCATTCAATATAGAACAATTTGGCCCTTTAACGCATATAATTTAAATGAATATTTTCGAAGATATTACAAATTTAAAATTCAGGGACATAGCGGTTCCGACGCTACCGGGCTTGGCGGCGCGTGCCTATTGTAATTGGGTATTAGAAGAATGTCATTGTGTTACAAGCCTGAGAACAAAAACTATAGTCTACACTACAGCTTTACACCGAAGCGAAGCGAGGGCGGGCCACTAGTTTTCTAATAAAGAAAAAAAATGTTTAAAAAGAACTCATTTCATTGTGGGGAGTTTTTTTTCACCTTAATAGAGATTAATTGTGGTTCAGCGTCCTACTCTTCATATTTTCACGGTCGAATGCACATTTTATTCAATCAATAATGCATCACCCGGCTTAAAATAGATTACTTTTGTAACATCATACATTCGATGCAGATACCTACCTAATTTTTTTGCCGACTATAGTTGCGTTGTTGTTCTCCAAGTTCAATGTACTGAACTAGCTTTTGTTTTTGAAGCTTAACTATAGAAGACCACTGATTTAACTGCTAGCTTTTAAATATAGAACCTAAATAATAGGTACCTATCTATAATGCAGTTTATGTAATAGTAATATCGATATACCTATTTACTGCATGCTATACCGCAGTGATAAGAGTGTTCGGTCTGTGAGTGCGGCGGAGATTAAGCAACATTGAAGTTACTTAATTCGCATTAATTTGTTTTCAGAAGGTTTTCAACACAAATAGGGATGAACTTCCATTATTTTCCCTATGAATTCTGCCTTTAGGCAACCTTGCTTGGTCTTAAGTCTACTCTTTAGCCTTCCTTGGGTGAAGACAATTTTATTATAAAAAATATATGCGGGCCTGTTCTAAGGAAAATTAATATTATACTCTGTCTATTCAGTGTGCGAGTTAGTGAAGCGCTATTTTTATCACGAAATTGTTTACAAAAACAATGGTGGACAAACTCGACAGAACTCGCACTAGTTTGGTTATTGTAATAAATAAAAATAAATTCATACGTAGAACTAGTAAATAGCAGTAGTTCCACGTGGACCTAGCTTCACGGAACTACTTGGAACAAAGGACGGCAAAGAGGGCTAGCCAGTAGCCAAAGTAGCAACCCAAGCCAGTGACAGAAAATTCGGAAGCAAGTTTCCGTGAACAAGGAATAGCGTTCTACCCACATAACTTTCCTAAGTGTTTTTGTTTCCATCCCTATGAATGGAATAGAGAGATACCTACCACGCAAGTCCAGTGCGGATTGGCGGGTACCAATTACTGCAGATGCAGTCAGGATCAACGGCATAACTTGCATGTCGAAGCACGGACATTTCAGGTTACCCATTCTTTAACTGGACATTGCCAAAGTCGCTTAACGTCTTCGCTTCTAGACTGAACGCGCTTACCACTTGCGCCATCGACAGATGGTATAAATTGATGATAATGGTGATAACTTTTCAGGGTGGGCTCCGTGCAGTGGTATGGACAGATTCAGTGCAAACAGGAATGATGTTCATTGGCGTAGTGCTTGTTGCGGCTGCAGGCACTCTAGCCGTTGGGGGCGTCCAAGTAATTCTTAACGCCGCCAACGAATCTAACCGATTGGACCTTTCCAAGTAGGTTTGTTAGCTATCATTAGTTGACTACTTCTTTATCATAGATTAATTTCAACAGAAGATGCAGGAGGCCTCCCCTTATTCAACGAAAAACGAAGTTTCGATTCGCATGTTTCTTTTTTATTATTTGTTCGTTCGCCCAAAAATAGATTGAGGTTTAGATTCTCTAAGGCAACTCAAAGAAAGATTGAATTAGATAGTTCATCGTTCAAATTATGTATAATATAGTATGTACCTTACATTGACGAAATGAAATTTGAAATCGTTACCGAAAGTTCGTTACGGTGAAAGAGAGTAGATCTTACGTAATCTTGTGACTGAAAGATATACATATATCATTATCTAAATTAAAACATTCATCATCATCATCAGCCTATTAATGTCCCCACTGCTTCCTAGCAGTGGGGACATTAATAGGCTGATGATGCTAAGCCAATGTCCTACATTGGCTTAGACAAAATGGTATCTTATTATACTTTCATAACACGATGAAACTTTTAAGCTTCAACGTATATTTATTATACCTACATAACGTATGTGTTAAGATAGGTATGACGATGGTCTGTTTGCACGTCATTTAACTCATTATAATATTTAAGAGGTGCTTACGCAGATAAATGTTTTGCTTTTTCAAATTTATGTCCGATGTCTATCGGCTTAAATATACATGTATGTACTTACATCGGTTGGATGCTAATGAGTGGCTGCTTGAATTTATTTGAAGACGCACACATCATAAAAAGTTCGTGATGTAAAACTCAAGTTTTCTTACAAAATATTTTAAATGTATTTCATTATGATTTACAATATAAATTATCGAAAATACAACCTACATAATATTTATGTTACCGGCAATCGGTATAATTCGGCATTTTATACAATACCTAGACAATGTATAGAATGCCTAAAACATCAAGGCATATATGAAATATTATTAATTTTATACTTTGCATAGGATAGTTTAGGTTTAAATAAGTAAGATATAGGCTAAATCTGTTTATTTTACACATTGCCGGTGGGACAGCAGGTACTCTATACATTTCCTAGAAATTGTATACAAATATAAAATGGAATATTTATAATATTTCATACGTTGCCTAGACGCCCAGGCTTTCTATACATTGCCGAGGTTTTTTATAGAATACCTGAATTATACAGATAGCCGGTGACATTTATGAGGATTTGTTTCATAAACGTCAAAAATGAACGAAAGCATAAAAAGGCACTTAAATATTATTTTGTTTGAATAATGTTAAAGTGTGTTTTTTTATTACCAACAGATACAAAATGATTTGTCGACTTTACATCATCAAATCTATCTTTGAGTTTTTATAGTATTATTATCAATACAAGTCACGCTGGCCACTTATAATTTGACAAACATACATAATTGAATTATCTTAGGTATTGGTCTCGACTGTACCTAAATATAAAACGGAGGTTTTGCTCTGTTCAAAGTTCACTCACACTTAGCAGCATGTGTGGTAGAGTTATTTTCCATGACTCCTTTAAAAAATATCTTGTAAAGTAAACATTCCGGACAAAATTTGAGACTTAATCAATGCTAATTTAACTTCATTTAGGCGTAACTACGGAAAATTTCACTATAAAAAGATCCACCCAGTCCAGGTTTCAGACGGAATTTTCTTTAGAATTAAATATCTAGCAGTAAAATGTTTAAAATAAAATTATAATGGTATTTGTCTAGTTGGAACTTCAGCCCATATGAAAGACAGACAGGATGGGGCGCCGTGGTTGGGGGTTTCCTGTACTGGACTTGCTTCAACTCCGTCAACCAAACAATGGTGCAGCGATACATATCACTGCCATCTAAGCGGCAAGCTGTTTCGTAAGTATGCAATAGCTTTGCTTAAATAAAAAACAGGTAAATTTAAAAAATCAAAAAACCCGACTGTTAATTAAACAAATAAAAACTGAAAAGAAAAAAACAAGTCCAGTAGTCTATAATTCTGTTAATAAGGAAAAAAGCTACTTTAACAGTCGGGACCCATTAGATATTCAAGAATACATAATATTTTTCAATAATGGGTCCCGACTGTTAAAGTAGCTTTTTTGATTTTTTTAATTTACCTGTTTTATTTCCCACTTTTTACTTAGTTAATATTAATAAGACGGTATATACCGTAGTCTTGTTACTTCAGTAGGGGAAACAATATCGCGGGAATTATTAAGTACCTTGCGGTGGTCTAAACGATTGATTTATTAAGACATATAGGGACTTTACTAGCAGGGTCAAGGCTACAGATGGGCCTCAATTTTCGCAAAAATGTGTGAAGTTAAATCAAGTCGTAATCTATTTAACTAATGTATGTAAATTTTATAGTAAACTAGCACTTATTCAAAAGTCATCTTTTGTTTATGTTCTTATTAGTAGTTTAGAAGTAAATATAAAATTCATTTACTTTTATTCGTCGACTATTAAAAATTGGCAGTGGCTGCATTGTCATGTCAACGTCCGGCTCTAAGATTGTGATATACACAAATGCAGTGTCATATCCTAGTCTCATAATTTGATATACCTATATAATTCACAGAAAGCCAATATGTAGATGCCAGAAGTTGACTTCAAATGTTGTTAATCACCCTATATACAATACCAATCAATGACGTTCATGTCGCAGGTTGAAGAAAGCAGTAATTCCCGTCTGCTGTTTGGGACAATGGTGGCAACTGCCTTAGATCGCTAAATTAAACATTATGCAATCACCAAAGCAAAGTTTATAATATTTGATTAAACTAAAGGTGCATAATAAATTTTTCATAACGTTAGGTAGAGCACCATAGCAATCTCATTTATTATTAATTTATAGTTCTCTTTGTAGTTTTCTTTTAAAGCGTTGACATATAGAAGGTCAAATACTTTGTGATCGACCCTTTTTTATTGGTAGTGTAAAGCTCGAGTGAAGAGTACTTTCACCTATTAAGCGTGCTGCTACCAGCCTAGTAGGTATTGCAAATAGTGCAATCATGGCAATTATTTTCCAAATATTTATTTTGTATTTAAAAAAAATACCGTTTAACGTATCATTGTTAAGCACAAATGCTAAGTAACTTTTACAAATATAATCAAATAAACCTATTACTTACTTCATTTTTAAATATTTTTCATCAATTAAATTCTATTATCCTAATTATCTATACTAATATTATAAAGAGGCAAGATTTGTATGTTTGTAACAAATAATCTGTCAAACTACTGACCGGTTTTAAATATTAATTCATCATAAGGTAGCTACATTATTTATTATAACATTTTTCTTTATTTAAATACATTTTGTCCGAGTGACATAGGCTATATTTTAACCCGATAAAATAAATTTCGCCCGTACAATGCCGGGGTGGATCACTAGTAAGTATAATATAATATTATAGATGCGAAAGTGGGTTTGTTTGTTGCGCTTCCGTGTCCTAATAGCTAAATCGATAATAATGAATTCCCCTATAGAAGTAAATGGGAACTTGGTTCTTAGCTACAACATCGCAATACTTATAGGCGTAGGGTGATTTACCTATAAAACTCTCTATTATTTACTTTGAATTTCGCAGAATTATCGTTTATAATTACAAAACCAATATTATCGCGAGCTGATTAACAAATACAGAGATTCCAATAAGTATTTACCTACTAGCGAAAAATGGGTTATTTGTCATTATATTAAGTAACCCTTTATTTGTAATTAAGTAATATAGTTAAAAAAAAGTATAATTCTGAGTTTTTCATTAAAATTCAATAATCATAAATATCTATTATGATAATTTATTTTTCATCATTTAATAGGAAGGAACTGTATCACAGTTTTATTGTAAGTACTTCGTATAGGATCAGAAGTATCTGAAGTATCGCAGTAGCGAGTAGCCCATTTTTTTCTTTTTCGCCTAGGTTTTATCTACGTTTCTAAACACCTAAATTAAATTTATTCTCTTAGTATTCCCGCAGTCTACTCCTACATACTCGTAGTACACCGCGCTATCACTTTGTCATCGTTGTTACTTTTTAAATATTTGTTGAAATGACATAGTGTAACAGGCAAAGTTTATCGTCTATATATATCAAAAGCGATAAAAGTATTTGTTTTGATAAAAAATAATTTGTTAATACAAAATGTGCATTTTGGAAATAAATATCAAATAATATTTTAGTTTTGATTCACTATTTTTGCGGTAATGGCTTACACATTAATAATAGATATTTGGTGTTACGGACTTTTTTGTAGAACTATTTAAGAGATACATTTTTACTCTACATTCATGTAACTTTTATTGTTTTTGCAGTGCAGGCCAAAATGGCTCGCAAATGGGAGATTTTTTTCCGTCTCACTTGACCCTTATTGTTATATTTTGGCCAATTCACTCAATAACTACATAAATTATTATATATATGTTATTATCATATATGAGTTATATTACTGTTAAGTTTCATTAAAATCCATTCAGTATTTTTTAGGTGAAAGAGTACCAAAGATCCATACAAACGTAAGATTGAAATTAAAAGCGCAAGAGGTTAATATACAACTTTAAAAAAGATATTGCGCAGTCGGGTAAATACGAGTTCGAGTCGAGTTAAATAAAAAAAATATCTTAAAAACTATCAATCTTGTTTACATTCTGTTCGAGGCTTAGAAAGCCGCTTTAAGCACTGGGTGACGTATAAAAATAAATACTACCTTTACCTTACACACTTTATGCACATTAATCTAGACTTCACTAGCGCTCTAATATGATTTTCATCAGAATAGGTTTTTTTTTACATTATTGAGAACTTTTTGAATATAAATTCTTTTGTTCTCAATTCACTTTATACACTTTTAGTAAATAGGTAGTTATATATATTATAATGTTAACGCATTCGTTTTAGAATTTATCTTTTCACAAAAGCCAGACGATGTTATTACTCACTATTTATTTAGAGATCAAATCAAGATTTCTGTCTGCTCTGATAACACAAAAATAAACAAATTTGGAGCGTTTAATTTGCCTGATATCTAATAGAACGGTTAACAAATAGGCTGTGATTATACCCTGCATTTGCAGCACGTGAATGTAGATTACTATTATGATATACTATGTTACTATTTATTTAGGTTTTGGAAATAGGTAATGTTTTTAATAAGACTTTAGGCTTAGTGCGCCAGCTCCACAGTTATACATACAAATAAGAGCCTATGGAACAAGCATGACATATTATGGAACTGGCACTGGAAAAGGTGATGATGAGCGTAGAGCCTGTCACTATAGTTTCTGGAGTAGGTCTTAGTATGCTCAAAAACAAAAAATGCTCAATGTTTAGTTATGTAGGGAATGTAATTTTTAATGAATTCTGCATAACTATACGTTTTTATTTTAAGCCGTTTTCGCCGCGTCGGTGATAGGCGGATCGATTAAAACCTATCGTATCATTCCATAATAAATAACCCTTGAGTATAAAATGAAAAATATTTAATAAGGTTTTTTTTGTTAAAGGGCGATAGGCATCTTCTGTATTGGCGCAATGATCGCGATCTCGCTGTGCGTCTGGTGTGGCCTGGCCGCCTTCGCGGCGTGGGTGACAGGCGGTTGCAGCCCCAGCGGGGCTCCGTTAGTAGACGACAGGCTACTACCAGCCTTCGTCACGTACGTCTCCAGAGTACAGCATCTGCCAGGGTTAGCTGGAGTGTTTCTTGCGGGAGTCTTCGGCGCAGGTCTGAGGTGATTAATAAACTGTTCTTTTTACTCTGCTTTTGGTGCGGCCTGGCCGCGTTCGCTGCCTAGGCGGCTGCAGTCCCAGCGGGGCTCCGTTAGTAGATGAAAGGCTACTATCAGCCTTCGTCACGTACGTCTCCAGAGTACAGCATCTGCCAGGGTTAGCTGGAGTGTTTCTTGCGGGAGTCTTCGGCGCAGGTCTGAGGTGATTAATAAACTGATATTTTTGCATTTGATGTGGCTTGGCTGCGTTCGCTTATATAAAAAAGAAATATATGGAATAAAAAAGAAATAAATAGTATGGTTTTATGAAACCATGATGCAAGTGAAACTTTTAATATCAAAAAAGCCCTTCCTCAGCGGGGAATCGAACCCGGGCCGCCCACGCAGCAGACGTGCTTTCCTCCATTGTGCCACAAATGTTTATTTATCAAGCAAGCAAAATTCAGACCTTATCAGGTGTGCAGTTTTAATAAGAATAAAAAATGTAATGCGATGTCATAAAACTTTCACTTTAATAATTACAGAGTTTTACCTCAGGCCATTTTATTTGTGCCATGTATTGTTTTGAAACCATTTGGTAATTCAATGACAACGTCCTAGTGTTCTAATTTTGCATTATTACTTACAACTTGGTTTTACTTAGTAGTTATAACTTCGTTATACCTGTAGAACCTTGTTTTGGGTTGTTGTCACTGTAATTCAATTATCAGAGATACTTATTTTCAATACTAATAAATAATTCGAATTTGACGTGTTGTTTTTGTTGTTGTTTTTCAGTTCATTGTCTGCGGTATTGAACGCTTGCGCACTAGTTGTGGTAGAAGACATAATGCACGGATGGATGAAGCTGCGATTGAAACCGCTAACTGAAGGGATCTTGGCGAGGGTGGCAACCGCGGTTCTTGCGGTCATCTCTGTCATCATGCTTATAGTTATCGAGAAGCTGGGAGGCGTGCTTGGTGAGATTTCAAATCCTTTGTACTGGTACTTGTCTTTAGTACGCTTTTTTTCTTCGCAGTAAATTACCCTAGCCCTCCTTTAGCAAATTACCCTCCTAATTCTAAGTGGAATCTAGTAAAGAAGATAACTGATGCAGCAGAAAAATAGTGCTGCATCCATATTATTTGCTAATCAGAATCCCATCCAACATCTTGTGCAGCCCTGGAATAGCAAATGTGAAGTAATTCTAGGCCATTATATCAAGTGATTTCAACGCTAAATATGACTAGTGATCCGCCATTCTAACGGTCACGATACCACCAAAAGGACTACCATTTGGTGGTATAGCACTAGCTATGCTATGAAAAGTAGGCCATAAAGCTAATGCAGACCAGATCAACAGCTTGACATAACTTTCGAAGCACGTTTTAAATGTTAAAGGAAATATTATAATGATGATAAAATCACTAGTCAGTAAGTTTAGTAGAAATTAGGAGAAGGTTAATGAACAGTAGAGGGGTATATCATAGATACGTAAGTTGTGAGTATGCCCATAAACTGGGTCAGTTTTAGTTATCAGGGTTCTGGCCATGACAGTACTTAATCCCGTTAAAACATCTATCGATCCGTAAGTGAAGCCGAATCTATTTGACACTTCTTTGGTGATTTTGTGTACCGTACTTTGCCTTATTTCGGATAGGCCTGTTTATATTGTCACTCAAAAAGAATATATGATATTCATTTACAAATTATCTAAAGGTTTTCCAATCTTATGGGTGTCCTTGTTGCTAAACTGTTCTTAAGCAGCTTGACGCCTTTATGAAAAGGCGTAAAGGCTTTATCGTTGTCCATCCTCCTCTAACCTACATAGTTTTGAGTAGTAATGTAGGTACCTTATTTAAGTTATCTACTTCGTGTTTTCTCACTTGAGAACAACAAACAATATCTACTAGGAAATTCTTATTATTCCCGTCCACACTAACATCGCTATACTTAGTAATCTAATGACAATGATTCTAGCACGATTTTCCAAACCCAATGCTGAACCAGCTCCAAGCTCAAATCTATCAATTTCACGCCGGGTTCCACATTGGGTAAGAAAAGTGAACTAAGCATAATTAGGCTCGGTCTATACACATAACTTTCACTTAATTCGTACAGACACACCCGTCGGTTTTTACGGCTTCTGACGTTTTACCTACCTTCTGGGTGTGATGGATTTGATCACATTAAGTGAGTTTTGGCTTTTCCGGCTACTACCTTTCACTATCGCGTCGTCTATCTGTTGCAGTATTCTCGATATTTCACTCTGTTTCCTACAACCACTTTTTTCTCCTTGTCTGCGGTGAACATCCTTACTAAAAGGGGTTCCAAGTTAACAAAATATTAAAAAACGAGTAAGTGCCCGCGATTTCTTACGACTTCTACGTGGAAATATTGGTTTCTCATACAATCTTTAAGCCCCCGTTTTACCCCTTTAGGGGGAGAATTTTGTAAAATCCTTTCTTAGCGCACACCTACATCATAATAGCTATTTGTGTGCTTAATTTCGCCGGAGTACGTTGATAGATCAGTCAGTTTGCCTTTAATATACGACAAAATATTTATTTATTTAATTCAGGTTACCAACAGTCTTATACAAACAATTTTACATGATATTAAGGCACTTGTCATTTTCAGGTGTGGCCACTGCGTTGTCTGCTATAGCGGCTAGCGCGACGTGCGGCATATTCACTTTGGGCATGGTGTGCTGGTGGGTGGGGCCGCGGGGTGCCATAGCGGGCGGGGTGGCGGGCGCGTTGGTGGCGGGCGCCGTGTCCATGGGCACTCAGGCGGCCGCCGCGCGGGGGCTGCGTGCGCCTCCAGCACTACTCACGTCGCAGTGCGCCGCTAACGCGTCCTACGCGCTCGTCGATCAGTTGGTGAGTTTCATCATGCACGCGCGATACATTCACATAGCATGCTGGGTGGCGAGCGCCGTGTCCATGGGCACATAGGGGGCTGCGTGCGTCGCCAGCACTACTCACGTCGCAGTGCGCCGCTAACGCGTCCTACGCGCTCGTCGATCAGTTGGTGAGTTTCATCATGCACGCGCGATACATTCACATAGCATGCTGGGTGGCGAGCGCCGTGTCCATGGGCACATAGGGGGCTGCGTGCGTCGCCAGCACTACTCACGTCGCAGTGCGCCGCTAACGCGTCCTACGCGCTCGTCGATCAGATGGTGAGTTTCATCATGCACGCGCGATACATTCACATAGCGAGCTGGGTGGCGAGCGCCGTGTCCATGGGCACATAGGGGGCTGCGTGCGTCGCCAGCACTACTCACGTCGCAGTGCGCCGCTAACGCGTCCTACGCGCTCTTCGATCAGTTGGTGAGTTTCATCATGCACGCGCGATACATTCACATAGCGGGCTGGGTGGCGAGCGCCGTGTCCATGGGCACATAGGGGGCTGCGTGCGTCGCCAGCACTACTCACGTCGCAGTGCGCCGCTAACGCGTCCTACGCGCTCGTCGATCAGTTGGTGAGTTTCATCATGCACGCGCGATACATTCACATAGCGGGCTGGGTGGCGAGCGCCGTGTCCATGGGCACATAGGGGGCTGCGTGCGTCGCCAGCACTACTCACGTCGTAGTGCGCCGCTAACGCGTCCTACGCGCTCTTCGATCAGTTGGTGAGTTTCATCATGCACGCGCGATACATTCACATAGCGGGCTGGGTGGCGAGCGCCGTGTCCATGGGCACATAGGGGGCTGCGTGCGTCGCCAGCACTACTCACGTCGTAGTGCGCCGCTAACGCGTCCTACGCGCTCTTCGATCAGTTGGTGAGTTTCATCATGCACGCGCGATACATTCACATAGCGGGCTGGGTGGCGAGCGCCGTGTCCATGGGCACATAGGGGGCTGCGTGCGTCGCCAGCACTACTCACGTCGCAGTGCGCCGCTAACGCGTCCTACGCGCTCGTCGACCAGTTGGTGAGTGTCATCATGTACGCGCAGTATATTCACATAGCCTTCTAGGTGGCAGGAGCTGTATCCATGGGCACGCAGGCGGCTGCCGCGCGCGGCCTGCACTACTCACGGTGCAGTGCGTTGCCAACGCGTCCAACGCACTCGTCGACCAGTTCGTGAGTGCCATCATGCACGCGCGGTACATTCACATAGCGGGCTGGGTGGCGGGCGCCGTTTCCATGGGCACGCAGGCGTCCGCCGCACGCGGCCCGCGTGTACTGTTGAATGGACAAGTGGGATGGCGGATAAATCACGTTGCAGTGCGCTGCTAAAACATCCTACGCCTTCATAGGTAACTTTATGAGTATCATCACTATCTGCTTAATGAATGTCCTCACTGCTGGAACAGGCCTTCTCTGTGGATGGTATATGTGCCATGACCCACCGAGTCCAGTGCAGATTGGTGGCTGCTAATGACTGTAGGTATATCCAGGATCAACGGTATAGTAAAGTTTTGGTCATCCATCCTTTAACCGGCCACTGCGGAAGTTGCTTAACGCATACGATACAAAGAGCTCCTCAGTAAGTTTGTTAGTATATAGCTTCTTAGAGGCAAATCCACCTAAGCGATAACGAAGTGATTCGAATCAGCAGAAACAATGTATTGCTTTGTTGATTCTGTAGGCGTAATATTGGATGGAATGCGTTAGCCTCGAGTTCGGACTGAAGATAAACCGGAATAAAACAAAAATGATGATTGTCAACCGCATGTATAACAATTCTGCTGAAACTACACAAATTGCTAATTGTGATGTGGTGCAATCATACATTTATCTAGGAGCTTTAATCAAGAACAACGGGGGATGTATCGACGAAGTGAAGAGGCGTGTGGCAATATCTAGGTCTGCGATGGACAAGTTAAGGAAAATATGGAGGCATCGCAGCATATACAGAGCCACGAAAATCCAGCTGGTTCGGACACTTGTATTCCCCATATTCTTGTACGCCTCAGAAACGTGGACCCTGTGCGAAGTAGAGAAGAAGAAGATAGACGCCCTAGAGATGTGGTGCTGGAGGAGAATGCTCGGAGTATCGAGTCTTTACTTCGAGAACTCGGCATCAAGCAGCGTTTATCGTCTGTGGTGCAGTCTCGTATCCTCACTTTTTTTGGTCACGTATGCCGCCGAGGGGAGGTGGCTATTGAGCGACTTGTGGTCCAGGGAAAGGTTGAGGGTACCAGGTCAAGAGGAAGATCTCCTATGAGGTGGACTGACCAAATAAAAGCTGCAGTGAATGGCTCATCATCATTACACGAATGCACAAGGAAGGCGGCCCTCAGAGATGAGTGGCGGCGTGCTGTGAAGCTTGCCACCAACACCTGTATTGATGACCACGACCACTCTGTCAAGAGTGATACCGACAAAGAAGAATATTGGATGGAGTTGGATTTTGATTCAAACCTAATATTTTAGCTCAAGGCTTTTATAAGTTTATGTTTAAATGCAATCGTTATTATTTTCTAAATGAACCAGTTTCGGTATTTTTTTATGAAAAGTGCCAATAGCTTGACGAATACAAAAACAATTCAGTACCAAAACTTTTTTTATACCTAAACATGGAAGATTAATGTAAATAAAGCAAACAACTATACCCTTAGTACGAACCAATATCGAAATCGAATAGTTTGCGAGTCCGAAATGTCATTGTCAAATTTTGTATGGAAACTTGAAAAGCAGCGCCGCAACGGACGTAACGAGAACTAAAAATCAGTACACATTTGACTTTTAACACTCGCGAACTATTCGAATTCGATATTGGTTCGTGTTAAGGGTACTGAACTCTTTTGGCATTTTGCTTTGATTTTACCTACCTCAAATGTTGTAAATTGCAGCCAATACTTTTTTATCACAATGGCCAGAAACGGTGTTCCCTCTGTTCAGAGTCTCGTACCATTGAATAGCGCCATTAGGTCTCTCAGCCACAATACTGACAGGAGCTCTGGTCGGCTGGCTATACGATATAAAGGAGGACATAAGAATGCACGAGAAGTTATTCACGCCTGTTACTTATATGGAAACTGCATCCGAGCGAAGCTTCTGTTTCTCTGAATCCATCCATCTTGCTATGTTTTATGTCAAATATTGTAAATCCTACCCACTACTTTTTTTTCACAGGACCCAGAAACGGTGTTTCCCCTATTCCGAGTCTCGTACCATTGGATAGCGCCATTAGGTCTTCTAGCCACAATACTGACAGGAGCTTTAGTAGGCTGGCTATTCGATAAAAAGGAGGACATAAGAATGGACGAGGAGTTATTCACTCCTATTATATGGAAACTGCTTCCTAGCGAAGCGCACGAGAGAGCCGGTGAAGCCAGGCGGATAGGGAACAAACAGGGGGAATCCCCGGCGCCTTCGTCGCCCCTCATGATCGCGAGGTCCGATAAGGTACGACAGGGACCGCATTACAAGCTTGTTTGATCTAATCATTATTATTACGAGCTTTACGCTTTTGTTGCGCATGATGTAGATCTTAAAAGTTAACACATCACCTAGCTTTTTAATAACGTGTTGAGTATTGTGGAGTAGTTAGATATTAAAACGATCGTGAGTGTCCGACATTATTATAAGCTTGTTTGATCTAATTATAATCATCATTATTACGATATTGTAGCTTTACTTGATCCTATTGTGCATGATGTAGAGTATATCTTTTTAGTATCGCACCACGTAGTCTTTTACTTACATGTTGAGTATTGTGGAGTAGTTAGACATTAACACCTTACATTTTATGTATCATTCATTACTTTTAATCTTAAACACACTTGATACTGTATTAATTAACTTTTTTCTTCTTCCGTTGTTATTTGTTCGTATAAACTAGCATGTGATACTTATAGTGTTTAGTGCTAATTACTTATAGTGTTCTTTTACTTACATGTAAAGTAGTTAGATATTCACCTTAAATTTTATGTATCATTCCTTTTTTTTTGTTAACACACTAAGTGGTGTGTTCATTTACTTTTCTTCTTCTTATTCTTTTGTTATTTGTTCGTATTAACTAACATGTTAGTGACATGTGAGTAACTAACGTGTTATTTAACTTAGTATTTTATTAATTTATTTTTCTTCTTCTTTGACCTTTGTTATTTCTTCCTATTAACTAGCATGTGTATGTATACTAACTGTATTAGTTTTGTTTATTTATGAAAGTCATTTTTATTTTTACATTTTTATGTAATATATTTAAAACATAAAGAAGTTAGCTGTTACAACAAAAAGTGATTGCATTCGGACCGAGTTTTAAAATCAGCCAGGATCACATCGGATTTTTCTGCTGAAAGATCTTTTCAATGAATGATCTTTAAGTAGCGTGATGTGTAGCTTAAAACTTTGTTTACTTTCAACATAATTTATACCTAAAAGTATAAAATAATACGCTTCAATTTTAAACGGCGTCTATCTTTCATCAATTTTATTTATCTTTGTAATAAATAATAGATACAGTTTGGAATAGGTACTGACAATCACTATTTTAAAGAGTCAGTAGCCAGTCGAATATACAGGTGGTCCAATTAGTGACATCAACAAATTTTTTTTAGATCCCTCGCACCTGGGGGTATCCGAAAATACCCCATGTATGTACCCCCGAGTTATATTTTTTTTTGTGTATTTTAATGATTTCTGCCAGCGAGGTTACAAAAATTCATATCTTTTTTCGTAGTAAGTATTTTGCAGTCTTTTTTGTGACATAATTGTATTGAATGTTATTTTAATAAAAAAAAACACAGCTTCCTGAAATTACTTAAAGTTACTCAAAAAAGGATGGGAAGTTGGAACTTTAGTTTTTAGTAGGATTTACTCAAACATTCAACTTCAACTTACATACAAAAAGGGGTTTCCATAGCTTCTGGCTAAAATTAAAAACTCCGCATGCTAAACTACCAAAAAACATGAAAAAATCAGCCTATTTTTGTTGTAATTGGCCTTCGAAGACGGATAGGCTAAAAATCATTGAAACACGATTAAAGCATTAAAAATAATTGTATCTACTTTTTATCATTACTATGGTAAATTAAACTTAAAAATGTAATTTCAAATTAAATTTAATTGAAATTCCTGTAAAATAACTTTAGCATGTGTAATTTTACAATAATTTCGGTTTCAATACCTACTAAGATTTAAAATGCTTGTTGACGTCACTAATTGGACCACCCTGTATATAAAATTTAAAATGAGGATAATTCTATGGTGAAACAGTCTATTAAGCTTAAGGCTTTAAATTTCACTAAAAAATTCTTAAAAGAGTCATAAGTATTTCAGTTCAAGACATTAATTGGCGGTGTTCACTATTTCCATAGAATGAGGATCTTCATGCATGTTATTTTATAATTTAATGTGCTTATTATAACATTGTATGGTGTTGCAAAATTAATAACATTGTTTGCATTTTTTTACTATTCAATGAAGTTGAACTCCAAAACGTAGTTTATCTAATAAAGATAATTGTTGTGTTCTTATTTTCAGATTGAAATGAGTGATGAAGTTAGTAGATGAGAACATGAAAAACTTCAATCTCATATGGGTACATGACTGTATGCATTTTCGTACAAATTATTAACAAATTAAAAGGGAAGTAAAGATGAAGGATATAGTATGAAAGGTATCGTTTCTAATTTGTAGATGAAGGGTTCCTAAAACTGTGGTTGAAATATATAGGAGTAATTAGCTGAGATTAAGATAATAATAAAAAGTTATTACATTTATTCCATGATGGTTGCTAAAGTGTTATCATTACAATGCATGTTCACTCCATTACACCACAATTTCCTGTTAATTTTGCAACTGAATTATATCGTTTTTAATTATTATTCTTGATTTGTAGATAAAACTATAATTTAAGAGCAGATATTTGTTTTTATTTAATTTATACTTAGTTACTAAACAAATAGGTATAGTACTTGTTTCAAATGAACCCAGTAACAAGTTCAAGTTCGAATACAAATGAGTAAATCATTTTTTTATACTTATATAGAGTCAAGGCCACTGTGAACGTGCACTGCGAATAGATTTATTTATTTATGCAATAATATCAGACACAATTTATTTCCTAGAAGATATTTATGTAAGTTCGGTTCCGAAAACAATGGAAACTCAAGGTTTAGGTAGACTATGCAATGTATTTTCTAAATAAGTAACTGGTATTTTTATTTCAGTTAAAGGATTTGTCTTGCTATTATGCTGTATGTATACATTTACAATTATTGACACTATACCTATACACATTTATTTTGTGTGATGCGTGCCAAATGTAACAGAACATAATAAGTAACTATTTTCAAAGCCTTACACTAATTAATCCACTATAATTGCACATACTACATATTATAGTAATATAAGTTATTTACGGGATTGTTACCACGTACCTTGTAAATTTAGAATTGTAAATTTCAATCGTGAGTCGAGTGTATGGAATCCTGTTGTTTGTATGTGTAAAACCGGAAATAATCAAAAAAGTGTCGTGTCGCGATCCGATAGTGTAAGTGTTGTATGTCTAGGGCAGTTTCGAGTGAATAGTGAGAATATGAACAGTGGTATGGGTATCGAACGCAATAAAAGACTTCGTCGGAGGGTAGACTGATATGTCTGCCAATAACAGCATACCCGCAAATACTTCAGTTACTCCGTGATTATGGCGATTGCAACAGTCCCGAAATATCGGAAACTCGCTAAAAATAAGGTACATGGTAACAGTCCCGTAAATAACTTATATTATTATAATGTTACTGACCATGAAAGTTGACAACAATATATTGCACATACTGTGTCCTTTTTTCACCTGCTCAATCTCTATCAAATTCAACCATGGAACCAAATTCCACATGATATCATTTTATTTATTTACTTTCCTCATCTCACATGGTTTATCAGATTCCACCTGATTTTAATTTATTTCTTTTGTTGTTTAAAATTAACAACCAGTAGGTGGCTTAAAAAATACATGAAATTAATCAGCATTAGGTGGTATTTGAAGAATTACCAAATTGCTTATCAGATATTTAATTACTTTATTTCTAATATTGATACTTGAACCCTATTATGTACATGTTTGTTACGGAAAGATTTGTAATTATGTAGTAGAAAGAATAATTATTGAACTATGAACCAAGTGGGACCAATGAATGTTGTTCATCTGAATAGGATATTTTAATTGTATTTACACTAGGTATATTAGAATATCGCGTCTACAATGGTATGAAAAAAATATATACTTACAAATATAAACATGTTTTTAATGAATTATGTAGATATATTAATAGGCAATCTTATATGTCTAAACAATTTTTATTCTAAAATTTACATATTTACTTAAAAAGAATTTTTAAAATGGTTGACTTAGTTTTTAGGGTTCCAAACTCAAAGGAAGCACCCTTTCTCATTGTTACCACAAGTAACCCTATTAACTATGTCTTCGCTTTTCGTCCGTCTTTCTGTAGTTCAGGGACCGAACTCCATAATGACCCATCCCTAACTGACGACCAGACGTAGACACGGTTTTAAGCCGTGCCTAGACCCGGTTGAAAACCGTGCCTAGACCCGGGTAGAAATTGTTTCGTTGACAAGTGCCCTAATAGGTAGACAGTTAAAATGTATTCATGTATTCATATGCCAATATAAAAATGAATCAAAATAAAATCAAATACCTACCATATATAATATAGCTCCTTATTTGATTTCGAGTTATTTGTTGTCGTTGTTTGGACTTCAGCAACATTTTAATCAGTTTTTTTTTTGTAATTTTAAGTATTTATAAATGTTGTTTGAGAAATGGTTATAAAAATCAACAGTAGCGCCACTACTCTGTAAAATAAAAAAAAAATACTTCAGAGTTAGATAGCTTCAATTTTAGACAGTCATATTAAAAATTACGTCATCACCTACGCGGAATTATCTTATAAAGACTGTTGAAAGGTTGAAACAGCCAGTTTGAAAGTGAGATTGCATATTAACATTATAGAATCGACGTGCTTTACTATTACTGCCGTACTTAGAGAAGTAAATTAATTTATAAACTTGATTAACATTGCATCTATCACTTTCTTAACAATAGGAATAGAATAAGACGTCACATCACTTGGACAATCATTAATTTTGATTGACGCTGCGGACTGCGGATTTTTGAGTAAAATAATGAATGACTTAAGACTAATTGTCATGAAGCATTTTGAAATATCTGTAGGTACTTAAAGAGTTTTAAATATTTTATATTTATCATTAACAACAAATAAAAACAAAATGTATTCTTTATAAAATAAGTATTAATGAGGTACTTAAATGGAAGCAAATGTTGACCAGTTTATGTGAAGCTACGTCAGTGTAACAAATGAACTTATGAATAAAATATTTAATACCCCGTAGGTTAAGTAAAATGTCGCACGTGATCGTTCATGTATTGATTTAATATAGTAGAAGTAAGGCCGATATTGCCGGGACATCACTCAATAATTCAGAAAACAAAAGTAATAGCTAGGTATTGGCAAGTTTTAATGGTTAATTTCGCACGGAACCTCCAATGTTTAACATCTTTCATATTTCTTGATTTAACTTAAGTCATTGGAATATGAAGCTTATCTTTTCTTTGGTAATTCCAGGGGGCAATTGTCTAACTTAAACACTTTTTGCGATAACTTAAACATTTCATGTGTTATAGTGGGTAACTTATCTGTTTCCCAAATTTAATTAAGGAAAGCGGAAGGAGAAAAAGTTATATAAAAATTAAACTGGAACAATATAAAGTATTTATTAAACATGCAATTCCGCTATTTCAGATTTCAGCAATTTCAGCTA